GACTGCTCATCCAACACTGGTGATTCCATACTTTTTGCCAGGGGTTGTAGCCCTGGTCAGTCATAAACAAATCCCTAACTCTGGTCTGCCGGAGCAGAGAACTGCATAATCTTCAGGGCGGGAACTTGCAGTGCCTTGCAAAGTATTCATACTTTTTATAGCATTCATATCAGTGTTTTATGCGGTTTCAGACTCAACTTAGTTAATTTTAAACAGGAAGGTCTCTAATAGCAAATAAAAATACAAAAAAGCGGAGTGTATTTGTGTTAAACTTGTGTAACGCGAAAGTTACCTCTCCGTATGGCCTTTCTCTCGTGAAAGTGGATTTATCTGGTAGAATTTCAAACTGGCCAATCAGCGAACAGAAAAAGAAATCGTAAACGATGACGTATATTTTTTGCGCTGGTTTAGAATTCAGCCTGTAGTTTTAGCGACGGTAGCGGAGGTAGCAAACGAAGACGTTCAGTCCGCGTTTGCCACGGTTCCAAATATTACTGAATTAAAAGTAACACCCATCTTGTTCAGTCCGGAACTTCTCTCTTTACAGTGGAGGGTGGTTGTTTACAGCTCAGTGAATTTCCGGTAAGCTACGGAACGTCGAACTGGCGCATTACATAGGTGACGGGGAAAGTAAACATTAGCAATTGGGTAAAATTTGAAACGTTTACTACGAAGCAATCGCTTCTCAATAGTCGAGGGTCCAGATTCTGTACGAACTTTGAATCAAATAGTAAAATAGTGTAAAACAATGGACTGTTTTTATTTTTTTTTTACCAGGCTACCAGCTAGCGATATATATCTATAAGTGTAAGTACAGCAGCTCTTTGAAAGTGAACAAACATGAAGACCAAGAAATGGAGCAGGCAGGTAAGGGATAAAGTTGTGGAGACGTTTAAAGCTTGTTCGGATTATGAAAGCGAGTTTCACAAACCAATATTCATCATTCAAAAATCAAAAGTATATCATAGATGAGACCAAAAGTATACATTTTTGGTTGGCTTGAAAAAAACTGAAGCATAAAACAAACCCTTTATTAGAAATGTAACGTTTGACCCAGTCAGCCGTAAATCCAGTTAATAGCTTGTGGCAAGATCGCAGATGCTAATTTCAGCTATTTTGTTGAACAACTGAAATTCCAGTTTGTAGATTTGTGGTGCAGAGTTTCTGTTTTTATTGTGAGGATATGTGGCAAAAATCGGGATGTATGAATACTTGTGCAAAACACTGTTCCTTAACTTATGAATCAGCTGAAATTAAAAGAAGAGAAAAATACCTATTTCTTTGGATACTGTTAATCTAAATTGCCTAATCTATTCTTCAGGTGATGATGTCAACATCTTGTCTGTGCTTATTAAAAGGTCATTACCTAAATCTCTTTCTTTTTTTTCTTGTGGAGGCATTTTATATTGATTTTAATGAAAAGTTGAACTGGTCCAGCCTTTTTTCTTTTGTGCTTTACAGTCAGTTCTGCCTGAAAGAAAGGCACGGCTCAGCTCCTCATGTCCAAGAGATGTCTGTGCTTAGATAACGTGTTAAAAAACAAACAAAAAAAGCTGGTGAACGCTGTACACGAACAAAGCAAAAAATATTACAAAAGATTTATGCAAAGTGTTACTTGGACACCAGTCGTTCAGTTTTTATGGCACACAAGTGATTTTTCTTCAATGTTTTCTTTCACAGCTGCATTGTTCTTGGCCCCATTTTCCATTAATTATAAAAAGGTGTTGAAGACCTGTAAACATTGCTGTTTTTATTGGCAAGCTTCTTAAGAGTAGCTGGTGTGATCTTGGTATGTAGCATTGTTTTATATTTTATTGAACACAATCTGTGCTTTTTTTCCCCCCTTTGTCTATAGGACTGGAATTGCTGCAGGATACTTAAAATTGATCTTTATGTTCACAGTGTATATGTATATTTTCTTGCGCTTTTAGAAGAAGTTTTGTTTTTATTACTTGGGCCTGTAGTGTGCCAAATTGTTATCTCTCTCTAACACTCTCTTTTCATTGCCCATCTAGTATCAAGCCTAGTCCACACGTAGCCGGATGTCTGGGAAACTGAATAGATTTTTATGTGATTTGGCCTTTCATTCCCACGTAAACTCTGTTTGATATAATCAAAAACGATTATTAATAAAAAAAAAATTCAGATCCAAGTGGAGATTTGAGAATTGGAAACCGGAGATTTAGAGGTACATGCATTACAATCTGTGACAAATAATGTTGTGCTAATGTCACATGTGACCATTGTTTGGCCATCAATGGAGGAGAAATACGACGGAGAATTAGGGCCACACTAAGAAAAAAAAAAAACATCACAACTTTAAAATCACAAGAATAAGTACAGCAATAAAGTCATATTATGAGAATAAAGACACAATATTATGACTTTGACTTGTCTTGTAACATTATGACTTTATTCTTGTACAAGTTTATTGTCATAATGTTATTTCTTTTCTCGTAATTTTCTTTCTTTTCTTTTTTTTTACTTTTTCTCAGTATGGCTATAATACTCCGTCGTAGAAAAATGACAGAGACCAAAGATCAGCTGCCGTACAGCATCTATCCAGTCATGCCATTCGTTGCCGTTAGTTGCTTTGACGCGAATCACAAACGACATCGTATTGTATTTTATAAACTTTATTTTCTAACACCGTATTTAAAAGTAGTTCCATCTCTCTGTCTGTCCACATAAATGAACCTCCTGGCACCATATTTAATTCCCAACAGGAAGCTGTGGTTCTTTGAGAAGGATTGTGATTGGCTGATATTGGTTTTAGCTTTGCAGTACACTGCCCCTATGGGTTTGGCATGTTTATTACAATGCTCAGTGGAGTAATTCAGTGAGTTCATGTGGATGAACACTTTTCTTAAACCGATCCTGAATATGCAATATTTAAAAAAATTATTTGGCGGAGATATTTCTCTTTATAAAGACTCGGCTACGTGTGTACAACGGCTCAGACTGTGGTAACAGACAGCAGGGGGTTGTAGACTTTCTTCCCGTCTGCAGATCTGCTCCCATGCGCCAGCAGCTCTTGTATAGTGATCCAGTTGTCCAGGATTCTCCTACTGCGTTTCTTCATGCTCCTCCGGTGGCAGAGTTCCAGTATGGATGCTGGTTCCTGCTGCTGAGGCGCCCCCTGTTGACCTGCCGCACTGCCGGCCTGCTCCCTGTCACGCTCCCTGAGGCAGTCGAGACGGCTCTGCATCATGAACTCCCTGCGCCGCCGCTGCTCTCGGGCTTTCAGCAGCTGCTGCTTTCGCTCCTCTTTGCTCCAGTAGCGACCCATCTTCATTTCGCTCACAGCGTCATCGTCCGTCGTCATTCCGCTGCGCTCCTCTCTGATCTTCATGGCTCGCGCCTTCAGAAGGCGATCCCTCACGGGTCGTTTGGCCACATAGCGTGAGCCGTCGCTGCGGATCTTCACCTTCCACTCCATTCTGGGGGAAGCGGGCAGCAGTGAAGGGGACAATGCTGAGGGTATGCCATCTGGAATCTGGGGAACATCTTTACATGTGCTGCCCAAACTCATTGGACTCGCATCATCTCCTAACTCTATAGTGCCCTCTTTGGGGGGATTCCTGAGTCCACCCAGATGCTCGGAGGTCGAGGGTGTCCTCAGCTGCATGCAGCTCAGGTAGCGCTGCGGGGGCTTTACGTCCGTCTGACGGCGGGACAGATATGGGCTGTTTTCTGCACTGCGTCCACCAGCTCTCTCAGCTGTCCCATTGGTTCTAGGGTTGCGTCTCATTCCCTCATCCGAGCCCCTCCTACTTGCTACGTCCCGGGACAGTGACCTAACCTTTACCCCCGGGCTGGATGTCTTTGCCTCACTTCCTCTCCTGTGAGTTTGAGGAGAGTATGGTTGGTTTAAGTTTGCTTGGATCCCGTCCCATCTCTCTTTTTGCCTGGTGGAGGGTGGGAGAGAAGACTGTCGTCCCTCCAGACTCTGAGTGGACAGAGATGGGTACTGTTCACTTACCAGAGGCGTGCTCCTACAACTTTCTCCTCCAGTATTGTAGGCACTCGTGCTGTCTTTATCAGAGCGCTCTCTCTCAGGAAGCTCGTTAATGTCTGATAGAGCCTGGTGACAAGACTCCTCACTCACCAAAGATCCGTTTGTCTCCAAGCGCCCAGTTCCTAACCCAGTGCCTGTGCTTGCTCCATTTTTATCCTCATGAGGCCAAACCTTCATGCAACGCTCCCTCAGCTGCTGCATCTTCTGTGCTCTCAAGATATTGCGACACTTAAACTCCAGATGGCGCAGTTCCTCTTCTATAAGGGCCATCTCATGCTGCGTCAGACTCTCGTTCCTATTCTCGTCCAGTGGGACATCCCCTTCCTCTTGTTCCACCCCCTGAACATTGCTGTTCTTCTCGTAGAAGCACTTGATCTCCAGCAGCTCTTTGTATCGCTCGCACTCTTCTTCAGTCAGCCCAGGCATCATCATCCTCATCGAATCGGCCATGTAGCTCCTCTCTAAACGTTCCACCAGCTCCAGGCCTCCTCCTCCATTGAAGCAGTCCAGTCCTAGCAGAGAGTCGGCACTGAACTGGAGGTCTTGGGAGTGCAGTAACGGTGGGGTGTCCCCTCTGCCCGACAAGAACTTTCGCATGCTTCCAGGTGTGTTGGTTGTGTTTGTGTTGGAGGCACTGGTGTGGTCGTCCCCTAGTAGGTCATGTTCTGACGACTCCTCATAGCGTGTGCTTTCGTCTGTCCGGCCAACCCCACTGTCCAACTCCTGGCTGTTGCTCAGGACAGTCTGGAGCAAATCAGGAGAATCTCTGCTCAACGAGTGAGCGTGATTGTGACTGGAGAGGACACCTCCGATCGCAGCGCTGATTTGTCCTGCACCTTGGACGGAGGGGCTGCTCCTCAATCTGGTACTGCTGCTCAAATGAACATCGTTGTCCAGAGGTTCCAGTTCCAGCTCGTCTGGATCCAGCTGGTTTTCATTCTAACCAGTTGATGAATTTAAATTTTTGCATTACAAAGGGAGAGGTTCAATGTTGAGAAAGGAAATAATAGATTAGTAACGCATGTAGATAATTGAAAATTATCTAGTACTTGAACTCCAAGCATCTTTCCTAATACTTGCAGTTAAAGGGATAGAATTGTCTTACATATTCTCCAATCAAGTAACTGTTATCTTCAGTTACTATAAAATGCTGTTTTTTTTTTAAATTAAATATAACTAAAAAGAGGTTTCAACTGGCAACCTAATATACAATTAGACTCGTATCTTACTTGTACTAACATCTAAAGACTCTGCTGGTGGACCATCAGTGTCATTCAAAACGTCCTGCAACCATTGTTCACGGGATTAACTTTAATGTAGAAAGACATACGGTCTTCTGCTAAAAGTTCTCACTAATCTGAATTCACATACACAAGAACTTCAGTAACATCCCAGTCATTATCCTTAGGGTTCAAAGCAAAGTGCTAAACTTTTGAAACAGGAGAACAACAGGGAGAAACATGCTAACGTTAGCTGACTTCAGGTAGACATGTCTGGTTAGATTTATTTGTGGGAAAAAAAGTGAAATCTACGCTTCTGGTCAATCTACTAAACCCCAGATTTGGATTATGTTGGTTTTATTAAAGTATTAAACTTCTATTGACAAATTCCCATTCTTAAATGACTCGGCCTGGAATCAGGGGGCAAAATAACAACAATTGTGATCGTAACTCTTCATTTCAGTCTGCAGTTCTCTTATTGTTTAAATTAGAGTAGTTGTCCTTCCTGACACCAGGTGGCGCCAAAGGTTCGAGAAACTTTCACCAGTTCAGTTTCTATTGAATGATTTGAAATTGATTAATTGGATTTAAAGAAAAGGATTTATTGAAAATACTTTTTAGTATTCAATGTTAGAATGAGACAAAATAATATTTTTACTTTATGCAGTTTCTTCTTTTTAAGGTTGCAGTTTAATTTGGAAGCTGATGTAATAAATTGAAAGTACTTAAACACCTTCCTCCCTCCCTCCTCGTCCTCCTCTCTGCAGATTCTGTCTAATCTGTTTGATTTAAATGTGAACTGCATGCAGACTGCTAGACGTGTTGTATTGATCCTCTTTAACAAAGCCCCTCACTTCTTCATCTTCCTCACCATCAGATCAAGCTCTAATCTCTTCTTCTGCGTTTCCCTCTGATGATTATTCGTCCTTCCCTCCCGCTCTCCCCGCCTTGAATCCTAATGTGGGACAATGCCCCGCCAATACAGATCTTATAAGACCTTTGTGGGTATTTACTCGTTTCCATATATTCAAACTCAAGGAGGTGTTGGCAGAGAGCAGAGTTTATTTGTGCTCTGTGTTTGACCTGCTCTGTTTTTAATGAGTGACTTTTAAATCTGCCCTGCAGCACAGAGAGAATACAAATGTTTCTCTGCTCACATAAACACTGCATGTCTCTGTAATTATAGTCAGCAGGAAAAGCTTGCAGGTACCTTGGCGGAGGCGTTTTGCTTATGTAGGATCTCATATCTGTTAAAAGTGACCTTGTGAGTTCCACTACACTATTTATCCTTGTTTCTGTGTTGATACCATCTTTGTTTTTAACATGTTTGCAAAAGAGACGACTCAGAGATAAAGAATTACGTTTCTTTTTCCTCTTACATTTGGATGTTTTCTTCTAAAATGTAATTTAATATCTGGCTGAGGGCTACAATTAACAATTATCTTTGTAATCCATTAATCTCTCGATTATTCTCATGATTAATTGGATTACAAAATGGCACATACTGCTGATTTTTCATTTAACCACTTACATTTTTTAAGCAATATTAGGAATACATTAAAACTTGGAAATAAACATTTCAATTTGTAATTTAAATAAGAAAATATATATTTTTTCAAAGCTAAAAAAAAAGTACTTCGAACATCAATATATGAAAATTAATCAATCAAATGTAGTGCTTTTTTGATAAGCTGAATAATATTTAGATGGTAAAAGGTGTTTAAGATATTTTTTACAGAATTTAAACCAGTTGAAGCTAAAACTTACAATCGAAAAGTTTTTTTTTATTTTAAATGCAAAATGTGTATATTTCTTGCACAATTTTGACTTAATTATGCAAAATGTCCACTTTTACGTTTGTATACTACATTAACGATTAATCGATTATTAAATTAACTGATTATTATTTCAATAATCGGTTCATCGCGATTAATCAGATTAACTGTTTAAGCCCTAATCTTGTTACATGAACTGTAAGATGAACTGAGAAAAATGTCTTTCCAGTTCAGCATTCAGAATTGAGTCTCGCAGCTCTCCTCCCCAAAGACTGCACATTCGATTTCCTCACCTCTATCTCAGGCCTGGCAAGGAGCAGGGAGACATTAGTGCTGTCCTCTCTGGTGAGAATAGCTACCGCCTCCTCTCTGTTCTGGATGTCCACTCCGTTTATCTGAGAGGAAGAGAGGCAGATGACTTTATGAGCTTATTCCAGATAATGTAAGGCAGCAGAAGCCAAAGACGGATTCAGTTAAACTGGACATGGATTACTATGCAGGAGGAATTCATAAAAGATACTCAAAGCTACAGAGCCTCATAAGGAATCACAGATTTAACCTATGGCTGGACAATATATAAGCATTTCATATAGATAACTATTGATTTTTGTTTGTTTGTTTTAAATATTTGAAATGGTGACATGACCTTTCCTGTTTTATCCACAGTTTTCACTTATTTTTAAGCAGTTATGAGGCAAAATGATGGAACTGAAACTGCTGCTGCACCAGTTGTTGCTAGGTAACCAAAGAGTGAGTGAGTTGCTAGGTAACCAAAGAGTGAGTGAGTTGCTAGGTAACCAAAGAGTGAGTGAGTTGCTAGGTAACCAAAGAGCGAGTGAGGTTAGTTGATTCCACCAACCTTTCTTAGCTGGCCATGAGAAGCCGAGAAGGTAAAGTATTTCCTCTGCCTACATCTCCCAGAATGCTGTGCGGTTATGGATCAGAGTTCAGTGAATATTCTATCTGATGTATTATCTATTGATATTGATATATTATTATTGATTTATTGTCCAGCCCTAACTTAACCACTGTAAAGATTCTCACATTATAATAACTTGCAATTTATTTTACTGAGAGTTTAATAGCCTAGCAAAAAATAGTGCAAAATTGTGAGGTTAAAAAAAAAAAGCATTACTTTGTATTTAGAAAATACAGTCCGCCTATGTGTAATTTAATCATATGATACCAATACCAGACATCTCCCTCAGCAAATTTTGTATCTTTATCTAAAGATGCAAAATATGGCACAGCTGCAGCTTTACAAGGAATACATAACACACTGCAAAAACACAGTCTTACCTAGACTTTATCATGCAAATATTTTATAACACTTGAAATAAGACAAAATTAACAAGTAAATTTTCAGCAAGATATAGGAGTTCATTTGAAGTCAATAATTCTTTAATATTGATTAAGGGGTAATAATTCCACTGGAAGATTATTTCACTTTTAACAAAACATTTTTCTGATGCTACAAAATCTGCCATTTGAACTAGTACTTTTTAAATTAATATTCAAGAATTACTGACGTAAGAGAAGCTCTAATATATTTATGAAAAGTTACTTGGGAGTTAGTTTTGCCTTATTTCAAAGACTAATATAGAAATTAGACGAAAGTTTTTCTATTTTCAGTTCACTTTTTATTCTTTTTAAAGATGCTCAGAGTCACTTCACAGAGCAAACAAGATTAAAACAGTAAAATTAAAAATAATTAAGCTAAAAAATGAACTAATTGTGAAAGTGCAGACCAGAGAGTTTTATTTGTAAAAAAAAGTATGGGCTAATTCGAGATGGTCTACATATAAAACACATTGAAGTTGGTAGATGTAACATGAAAAAAATTCAAAGGTTTATACCTGTAGTATTCTGTCTCCTTTACGGATCCGTCCATCCATCGCAGCGATGCTGTGTGGGTTCACCTTATAAAATAAGTTGTTAAAAACCATGAAATCATTAAAAAAGTCTTTATCTAAAAACTAATATAAATTGTCTTGACTTCACCTCTCCCACGTAGATCCCAAGGTCCTCCTCATCATCGGTTCTGTAGCACACCGTCAGACCCAGTTTATCCTGCTGACGGGATTTGTACAGCTCCACCTCCTAGAGCAGGTAAAGTGGAGGTCAGAGGTCACAGTTAATATGTACTCAAGGAAGAACAGCACTACTTAAACATATTTCTACTTAGAACTCGACGACACGGATGAAAAACTTATTAAGCTATAAGACTTTCATACGAGTTGAATAATCATTGATTAGTTTTTTTTGTTTTTAAATATCTGAAGTACTGTTATTTTGTCATTTCTAAGCACTCATGAGGCACCATGGTGAAATGTTAAACTGCTGCTGCGTCAGTTACTGGTTGCTAGGTTACCATAGAGTGAGTTGCTAGGTAACCAAAGAGTGAGTGAGTCAGTTGATTCTGTTGATTTTTTTTTTTATTTTTTTTATTGCTTCATTCAGTGAAGTTACTCACAGTGGGTTGAATATCCAGGAATTTTACTCGACTAAGAGTACTGATACTTCATAATAAAATTACTCAAGCAAAAGTTAAAAAGTACTACATAGTGAAAATACTCCTAAAGGGAAATTCTTTTCCAAAAAGTTATCAAAGTAAATGTAGCCAGTTACTAGCCAACTCTGGATTTAAAAATCCCTGACCTCGTATTCCAGCTCGTCGTTTCTGTCCACTTCGTGCTGACTGATGTCGAAGTAGTCGGTGGGGTCGTAGTACACAGGCTCCGAGAAGCTGAGGACGAAAACATTCAGGAAAATACCTTTCAGTTGGAGCAGCTTCTGGACCAACATAGATCAGCTCCAGTTAATATCTTTCAAATTCAAAACTAAGTTATTGATCCAAAGGTAAATTAAATGTTGTAACTTACATTAATTCAGAATTTGTCAAAGAGTTGTAGAAAATACAATAAACCAGGAGTGTCCAAAGGTCCGGCCCAGGGGCCATTTGTGGCCCTTAGATTTTTTTGGTTTTTGTGTTTTTGTTTTCTAAACTTTTTTGTTCAAATAAGGGTAAAATTATTACCAATATAATTTCTTACTATGTAAAAAAATTAAGTACAAACAAACTTTCATAATAAGTAAAATCTTGTTTATCTAGTGACTTTTATTGAAAAAACAACTTTGCTGCACACAAATCAAGATTTATTCAATTTATCAAAACTTAACTAAATATAGCAAGTGTTTTGCAAGAAAATGACCCAAATCCTGTTCTTATAACTCAGAGTAAATTTGTGTGACTGAGCCTAAACTAATTTAAAAAGTAAATTCATTTCCTTTTATTACAGCAAATGTGTAAAATCCTTCCTGGATAAAAAAAAACCCAGACTACTTTTGTTTTCTTAATTTGTTTTCAGTACATTTTGCTAAAAAAAGAAGTTAAATTCCACCAAAAAATTTCTAGGAAATTTCTAAGCTTGAAAAGTTGAAAATGTGCTTGAAAAAACCTAATCTCAGAAATTTTCTTGTAAAACCTTAAAAATTTCTGTGTTTCAAAAGTCAAACTTTAATTTTATATATCTTTTTAGAAAATTTCTGAAATTAATCTCAAAATTTTAGGGGTTTTTTTCTTGCCAATTTTCTGCTTTTGGAGCTCAGAAATATTTAAGGTTTTACTAGAAAATTTCTGAGATTAGGTTTTTTTTCTAATTTCTGAGTAATTTCTTGTTTTTTCTAGACGTTTTATGAGATTACTCTTAAAATCTGAGTTTTTTGGAAATTAACTCTTTTTCTATCTGGCTCGACTACGCCATCATACTTTTGACCCCACAGTTTTGGCCCATGGGACCAAACGTTTGGACGCCCTGTATCGAGCGATTCCCACTCACAGTTCGTTGAACAGATATGGCTCTGGCAGCGGGGGCAGCGGCGGGGAGGGCGGAGGGTCGGGTGGGGGCGGCGCGCCGCAGGGATGCTCTCTGCTCCGGCCCAGAGTCAACATATGCTGGAAGCTGATGTCCGTCTGGGTGCAGCTGTCCACGCAGTCGGCCATGCCCATGGTCACCGCCACGGGGCCCCCGGCGGCCGCAGCCGGGGCCGCGCGTCTCCGAGCGCCCCGCTTCAGGATGCTGGACAGCCGGGGGTCTCGTATGTCCAGGGTGGGATCTCCAGACAGGCGAGAAAGCTCCTTCGCATTCACCTGCAGCAGAAAATTAGCATAAATACAGATCTGTTTGAAAAACTGCAACCATTTCCTTTCATATCCTCCTATTTTTTTTACTTCATTCACTCAATGAATATGAATAGTATGATGGAGTATTAGATACAACGGCCTGTCAGGGCCATTAAAGAAAAAAAAGAAGAGTAAATTTCAGAAAATTTGAAGACGAAACAAAAAAATTTCAAAATTTTCAACTTTTTAAACTCAGAAATGTCCCTGTTTTTTTCTAGCATATCTTTGACTTTTCAAACTTAGAAATTCCTTGTTTTTTCAAGAAAATTTCTGAGATTAACCTCAAATTTTTTAGTCCTAATATGCTGTTGAGAAAAAGTTACAGTAGAATAAATAAAGTATAACAATAATTTTCTTGTAAAATATGATTTTCTTCTTGTAATACTATTCCTTTAAAATGGCTCACATGAAAACCTGCTACTGTACCTACAATCAAACAAACTGCAACCTTGTTAGTACACAAAGGGAGGTGAATATCCTTTAGCCAAGTGTCTGCAAGCAGAAAACACCAAACAGCAGAGCAGGAGGTAAATGAAAGAGACCTTTAATCGACCGTCAGCGTCAAGAGAGCACAGCATGTTGCCTACATGACCCCTCTGCAAAGAGAAACAGAAAAAAAGCAATAAAAACGGAGCTTTAGTGAATAATTAGATTTCTGTAACGGGTAGTAAAGGAGATAACCAAGGTTAAAAATACACATTTCTACAATAAAGGAAGCATGTGAATACGACAACGTATTAGGACCATTGTTGACAGAAAATAAAGTAAACTTCTGCCGAAAAACTGAATTTTTTAGATTAATTTCTGAAATTTTCTAGAAAAAACAGATGTTTTAGTCAGAAATTTGTGAGAAAAACCTCAGAAATCTTGAGTTTAATCTCAAAGTTTTCTCGGATAAAACACATTTTTGAGCTCGAAAAGTCAAAAAACTTTGAAATTTTTAGATTTTCAGAAATTTTCTAGAAAAAAAAAAAACAAGGACATTTTATACCATCAAAAGACAGAAATTTATGACAAAAAGCCTGAAATTTTGTAGAAATCCTCCAAACTAAATATTTAGGACTGAGCTCAATATTTAATTTTGAAAATAAATATTTAGGTTGGAAATAAATGTTTAGTTTGGATCTAAATATTTAGTCGGCAACATAAATATTTAATTTGAAAGCTAGACAGTTTCTAAACTGATATGAATGAATAACGGTGAAAATATGACTTCAGAAAGATAATCTACATTTTTTCTACATAACAGGCTAAATAAACCTGTTGTTAATTTTTTACAGTGTAACTTTACAGACATCGCCCGATAAGAAAATGCAGTTTGATAATCTGTGCTTTTGATTTGTTTCTGCTGGTTTACGGTTACGACCCGTCGTATTCCTGTCATTGCCAGCTACGCTTTGGGCTTTAACTCGGCGCCATAAAATAACACAACAGGTCCCATTTTACAGTGTTTTCATCGTTGGCTCAGATCAGCCTGCAGCAGCTGGTGAAACGGGCAGAACTGGTGATTTAAACTGACATGTTGAGCCACATTTTTGACCGAAAATGAGTCTGGATTCAGCCCGTCTTTGAACGTTCAGCTGCTGACCTTGGACGTCACCGACTCCACGTCTCTCGCTCATCCTCTCCTCTCCCTCTCTCTCATCTCATGTCCCCTTTCCAGTAATTGCATGTCAAATCAATGTTCCCCTGTGCAGCCAAGCGAAAAAACTTTCCTGCCACATTCGGCTCCTGCTCCCTTGATATTTTCCACTTCTTTTTTATTTCTTATGTGTCTCTCTATATTTCTCTCCTTTCGTCTCTTGTTTTCTGTCCCCACGCGTCTCTCTCTTGCCTTTCTGGACTCTGGGTTTCTTTCGCCGTGCTGCCTCAGCAGTTCTGTCGGCTCCGTCCCCTCCCAGAGGAGCCGCCGCCTCGCCCTCCTCCACCTCCATCTATTTCAGCCGCTCCGTCTCCTTGTGTGTGTTTGTCCTTCCCTGCGCTAATGTTCCCCCATAAATCTTACTGTCTGTCTTAATGAGCTTCTTCGCAGCAAACGAGATGCTCTGCAGCCAACATGGCAGTTTGGTGAGGAAATGAATTAGTATTCTGTTATCTGTATGTTCTGCATTGTGCAAATATTTCTGCCTTGAATTCGTGATTTTATGCAGAACGTGTCTGCATCACCTCACTTTTTCCACAATACAAACCTATTTTAATACACCAAACAATCAGTAACATGTTTTCAGACGTTTGTGTGAATTTATAAGATAAAATAGTGGCATGCAAAAATATGAAGTGTTATCTGCTTTTTATTTATACATTGAAGTTTAATGTATTTAAATGCATGATTATTGTCTTATGTGTCCATTATTTTTAAACAAATGCACTTTTATGAATATTTTTACTACCCCTTACTCTTTTACTCTTGCTTTAGTAATTTTATTATTAAGTATTGCTAGTGTTAATTCAATTCAAAAATATTTAAATAATCCCAAAGGGAGATCAAATTAATTTACTTGATTAAAATTTCTGTATACTCCACTCACTTATTTAGCTGCTTAGCTCGCATTGCTTATTTATTTATTTATTTATTTATTTATTTATTTATTTATTTATTTACCAAAAATTCACCTCAGACACACACTTGGAGTTTTTGCTAAAGTTTACCCTAAACAGCTGCTTAGCTCGCATTGCTTTGGGCCGGCCCTGCATCCAACAGTAGACAACAGGACGCCTTGTTTGTAAAATACACTGCTCAAAAAAATAAAGGGAACACTCAAATAACACATCCTAGATCTGAATGAATGAAATATTCTCATTGAATACTTTGTTCTGTACAAAGTTGAATGTGCTGACAGCAAAATCACACAAAAATCATCAATGGAAATCAAATTTATTAACCATTGGAGGCCTGGATTTGGAGCCACATACAAAATTAAAGTGAAATGTTCCCTTTATTTTTTTGAGCAGTATATATAATACTGACTTTACAGGATTTTGTGAATAAAACAAATGCACAAAATATCTTAGAATAAATCTATGACAGAAGAAAATGTGTGACAAAGCGCTGTGGTCGTGTGTTCAGCCTCAGCGCTGTTTGCTCTCAGAGCCATTAGTAGACAGGTCTGTGGTCATGAGTGGCAGGTATGAATACTGATGGAAGAAAAAGAAGAGGGGATCTCATTTATTATCAATGAGAGGTGCTGAGATTGCTTTGAAGACGACTTCATGGAGGGTAATGGTTGCTCTGCATCACAAGCTCGACCGCTTCCACGTGTTGTTCTCTATTATCTGAGTTAGTAGGTCATCACATCTATCTTCTATTTATAAGCAACACATGTTTTTTTCCCTTCCAGATAATAATCAGCCGGGTCTCCACACCCAGTGCTTGAATGTGTTAAAAAACTGGAATTAAAATTCATAAAAAGTACTTGAGGATTCGCCGTGTTGGGGGGTGGGAGACGTGGTATCGGCAGCGGCGGCGGAGCTCTGGGTGGGGTTGATGTGGAGAGATGAAAGAAATGCAAAGTGTGAAAAAAGCAAAGCATGAAATGTTTAGCAGGAGACGGGGAGAAAAAGAGGGGGAGAAACAAAGAAAACAAGGAGGTGAAGAATACTGGAGGTAAACAGACTCCCACCAGGAGCTCCTGGGAAAGTATTAAACGGCTGCTGCATAATTATCGTTATCTAATTGTCCTTTAAAGAGCAAACCGATCACAGGAGCCGAGATGAAAACAGGCGACGCCACATTAGGATAAAAGAAAACACTCCAAAAGTCACATGCTAACGTTTCCTCTCTAGAGTTTTGCTTCATGTTCATTTCAAACAGCTTTCCTGCAAGCGCAGAAATCCTCACCAGGAACGCATCGGATTCCGCTTGTTCAGTAATTGATTTTTCTCATCTCCCCTGCTTTGAAGACTGCGGCAGTCACCTCCTCAGAAAATCAATTAATCTGGGGACTGGGCTGACCATCTGCAGCTCCAGCTGGTTGACATCCAGCAGCAGGAGAGGAAGGACCGTCAAAAACAGAGACCAGGAGCCGCGTTTCCGTTACAAATGTTCGCAAATATTAGTCCATATTCCGCTGATGGCGAATGTTGTGTTTCCATTAAATAAGAAATTAATTGAAATCATATGTGAATGAGTCATAAAACATCAAGGCAGGAACAAATGTAAACACTTATAGGAGATGTATTTATATTTCAGGATCAAAGAGGAGCAATAAATAAATTAATCGCATGATAAATTAAAATGATCTCAATATTTTCCATTTGCATGGTTTCTTTTATTTTTCCTGTTTCTCTCTTTCTGCCAAAAACTGGATGATAAAAGTCTTCAGTTTGGTGCTTTAGCATGAACTAACCTCTTTTTAAATGAAAATGTGGTTTACAGAGACTTAATAATTAATTTTGTTGTTTTTGTTTCATTCATAAGAATGTGTATTTTCATTATTATGCCATTAGCATTACTTGATAATGGTCTCAGAACAATATTATCGTTTATCGCTATAAATTCTGGGACAGTTTATCGTGACAGGAATAGCAAAGAGCAGAGAGAAATGATCGATTTCATCCATTGATTGAAGTAGATAAGGATCAATTATGACTCCAGTGCAGCAGCTTTTTGACCAAACAGTCGACATTAATTTAAAGAGAAAGCAAATGAGGTGGATTAGCAGTGATTGATAGCGTCAGCCATGACATGTTGCTGCTGCCAGGAAGTTGAGCCGTTGTCATGACAACCACTGGGCTGTCATAAAACCACAGTTTTCAGTCAGAGGCATATTCAGATATGTTGTGAGACTGACAGCTACTGGAGCTCTTTCCTGTCCTTCATCGTCATCCACATTGATTCTGTGAAGATATTTAATTTACCTTTGAGACAAATCAAGTAGTTTTGAATTGAATTGAATGTATTTGTTGCAAACTGAACTCACCGCCATGTTGTTTCAGTTCCATTGTTGTTGCTGGTGTGTTTAGCTTCCTTTAATATTGGTCATTAATAACCATCAGGGCAACATTTCATGCGTTAGTGAGGGATCTGCTGCTTAAGACTGTAAAAATCTTTGCAACATGGTTTACAGCTGATATACACATGGATATTCTGTAAAAGATGATTGCTTCCCTTTATTGGTTGGAAGATTAAATAAATTTAAAACCAAATGAAACAACAAAATCTTGTCAAGTGTTTTTGGTCTAGTTTTTACAAATATTTCAGTAAACTTTAAATAAGACATAACTGACTTACAAGTAACTTTTCAGCAAAATATAGGAGCTTGTTTTAAGTAAATAAAACTTAATATTGATTACAAAAAATACGAGTTCGACTGGCTGATTATTTCACTTGTAACATGGGAGAAATGTCTTGTTATGAGTGAAATAATCTCACTAGAAATAGTTCATTTTTTATCAATGTTAATGAATTATTCACTTAAAACAAGCTCCTATTTCTTGCTGAAAAGTTAATTGTAAGTTAGTTTTGTCTTATGTAAACTGTACCGATATACAGCTCTGGAAAAATATTAAGAGACGACTTAAAATGATCAGTTTCTCTGATTTTACTCTTTATAGGTAAATGTTTGAGTAAAATGAACATTATTCTTTTATTTTATGAACTACTGACAACATGTCTCTGAAATTCAAAGCAAAAAATTAGTATTTATTAGCAGAAAATGAGAAATGGTCAAAATAATAAAAAAGATGCAGCGCTTTCAGACCTCAAATAACGCAAAGAAAACAAGTTTATATTCATTTAGAAACAACAACACTAATGTTTCAACTCAGGAAGAGTTCAGAAATCAGTATTTGGTGGAATAACCTGGAGGTTTTCAGTGGGATTCAGTGCAGTGGGCCCACAGTTGTATTTGCACTAGAAACTGGACCAAAATACTTGGTAGGACTTTGTGTTTTTGCAGCATTAATATTTTTTTTCGGCAGAGTTTTCTTGTCTCTGTCTCCGTTTGATTTCCCTGACTCCAGCCCGTATCTGTCTGCAGGTCCCGATGTGTTTACCGCTGGTCGAACATCGGCTTGTTTCTGCGTGCCACGCTGAACGACGGCACACTTAGGTTTGTTTAACGACACGTGTTGCCATGGAAACTGCCTCCTGCTCCACACAGAGCCAAGAGAGAGAAGAAGAAGGGAGCGGCTGCCGGTTTGTCGTGTCAGTGTGGGTCTGTGTGGGTCAGGTAATGCATGGTAAACACAACATATGCTTTATGTTTCTAATACAGTTCTGCTGTTGCTGCTGTGTCTAATTTATTCGCTTCTCCTTTTTCGTTACCTGAGGCTACAGTCAGTATCGATGGGACGGATGCCGATGGGTGTGTACCGAGAACCAGAGTGAAACGAATGTGCAGCAAAGGGCCGAATGTATAATGCATGACTTTTATTCCTTCAGCAAGAGAAGCATTTAGATAGTTGAATTTAACGGCCTGAATTAGCAGCAGAACGTTGCCTTAAGCTGTGAAGTTCTGTAATTATTGTCTGAAAACAGACAAGCATAATTTGAGTTAAAATTTTACACTTGAGTAAAGAAAAATAGCCCCAGACTTGGATCCTGTGAAGCAGAAGAACAGAGCGTGAAGAACCATAAAGCTAAGATTTAATTACGTCTACCTCTTGCCTTTTATTTGGCCTGATATCAGCGCTAATCAGGCGGCTGCACAGCCAGATTTTCTGTTTTTCTGATTATTACATGCAAGAAATCAAACTGGATTTAAAAAAGCAGCATGCCGTCCACGATCATCCCTCGTCTGATTAATAGTTTTGTTTTTTACGTTGAAAATGTGCCAGCTCAGGCTTCTGTGAGTCGCCCCGTTTCCATTAGTATCTGAATGCATGTTGACTCGCAGCCAGCGGCTCTTCTGCTGCTTCATTATGCCATCTGCGTTTGCTCTGCTGTCCCACGCTCCTCTGCCTCCAACCAGCCGTGCTGCTTCAGCTCTAACAGACCGCTGTCTATAGAAATCCATCCCAGAGTATCTGTTTACCTTGCACAAACAACATCCCTGCAGTGGCTCTGCACACAACATGACATCTCTCCATGCTTCATCACTCTTCCTGGCTGTCGCTGTGGACTCTGCTCGTCGCCACGCCCGCGCCTGTGTCAGCCGGAGCTGAAAACGCTCCTAAACGGCAGCAGCACAGTGGAGCTCATGTTGACAGATCAGGGAAATCTTTTGCATGAACCCAAGGTTTGATTTTGACCTTTCATCTCCAAAGATTTGTGTTTTTTTTTTTTGTTACTTTAGCTAATAGGGATGGATGTTTATCGCATCATTTCGTTGCACAAACATAAAATCTTGCCAAGTATTTTTTTTTTTGTTTAATTTACAGTGGAAATACATTTGTACATTTAAAATAAGAGAAACAAATTTACAAGCAACTTTTCAGCGAGATATAGGAGCTTGTTTTAGGTAAATAATTCCTTAATATTGAGTAAAAAATAGTAGTTCCACTGTCAGATAAATCCACTTTACAAAAATACATTTTCCCATATTTTTGGTCTAGTTCAGATATTTTCTGGTGCAAATATCTTGGTACACTTTAAATAAAATGCAACTAACTTACAAGTAACTTTTCAGCAAGATACATGAGCTTGTTTTAAATCAGTAATTCAAAGAAAATGAGCTATTTCTACTGAGATTATTTCACTCATAAGACATTTTTCCCATAAGTGAAATAATCTGAAAATGAAACTAGAACTTTTCCATCAATATTGAAGAATTAAAGACTTAAAACAAGCTTGCATATCTTTCTGAAGGGTTACTTCTAAGTTAGTTTTGTCTTATTTCAAGTAAACAAATATATTTGCAGTAGAATTTAGGTGAAAATATTTGGTAATAAATCAGATTTTATTTGTGTAGCACATTTCAGCAACAAGGCAGTTCAAAGTGCTTCACATCATAAAACACAAAAATCAACTATTAAAACACTACATTTTCCAAGTCTTTACACGTCAAAATGTTTGTTAATGTTTCATGAATTATGTTTCAAAAGAAACTCTAAACAACTGGGGTTTTAGTTTAGAGTTGAAGCAACTCAATGTTTCGGCTGTTTTGCAGATTTGTGGTGCGTTGAAGCTGAATGACAAAGATTTTGGTAAATTTTATGTTTTTTATTTATCGTGATAAAATTCTTATAAGAATGTTGATCATATATAATTAATGATGTTTAACCCACCCAAAGATATCAGTATTGATAGTTTTACTTTTTTCTCCTCTGTTTTTTATTGATGAAAGCATCAATAAATACAAAGGCGCAGTATTTCTGTGCAGCTTAAATCACACTTCTTTATGTGACTGGCGTCCTAAAGAATTACAAATGGGAACGTTTTTCAAGAGCATTATTTGTATTTGTGGGACTGTAATTGTTGTGACACACAGTCATACAGTCCCCTAAAAAATCATTCTTATTGTCACTTTTATCGTTGTCACAATAGAAACAGAATGTTGTGATAAAACTTTAAGTCCATATTGTCCATCGCTAGTGACATGGCGCACAGACAAACAAAAAAGATGAACATGTTTAGTTTCTGGAGACGTTTAAAGAGGCAGATTGTTGCCAGAGATGACTCTTTCAGGGATTGTTTGCCTTATTTCTTTGTTGGATAAGGCTGCTGATGTTGAACCTCCTCTGGATTCACAATCAGCCTCCATGCACCATTTTTCTCCTCGGCCTTCACCTACAAGATTAGTGGGCCCTCCCAGAGCTTTTGTACTTTAATTCCCCCTTGCTATACGAAGCATTCATATTAATTATTTTGAAGGTCGAGCTGTAAGACAAAAAAGGACCTTAAAAAATGAGTTTGGCCTTTTTCTCTCCTGGTTTCATTTGCATGTTTCTGCTCCCTTTTCAACTCATTAGCCTGCCTTTCCTTGGACTCTTCCTGTGCTTCTCGCTCTCTCTCTTTTGGCATTGCCTCTGGCACCAGATGCAGCCAAGTCCAGCACGCAACAGAGCCCCAGCTGAGGCTTTGGGGCTCCACAGATACTAAAAGTGTTGCTCTGCATAACCGTGAGTGCCGAGCGTTTTTCATGCGCTGTTAAGATGAAGATCTATTTAGGGTTGGGGGATGTGTCACCGGGTCGCCAAGCAGGAACGTTTGTGTGGCAAAGCACAGCCAGATGATGAGCTTACTCACAGGCAGACTGAGGTCTCTGTTGGCAGGTGGTGGGGAGGCTGTAACCGTGGCAACGCCTCTCTTCACTTTACCCCGGTTTAACAACCCATCCATCCTTGTGGCTCTGAGGCTCCGTCTACTTTTGCTCCGTTCGATGCTCTCATGCTATCGTAATCACAGCGAAGCATCATTATTCTAATTATCACTATCATTGTCGCTGAATGACTGCTTCATGCTGCAATTAGGAGCACGGATAATAGGATAACGAGCTTACATCTTCATTTAAAACAATAAAAGGAGATGAACATCGAACCAAAAGAATGGTTTTACGTCATTTTCAACCAAAATCCAGCTTAGTTTGATTTATTTTGTTTTGTGACTTAGCATGAGGATGTTTTGATTTGTATTGTTTTATTTCTGCCCATGAAGATATCTGACAAGATGGCGTTAATTATTTAAAAAGCTTGTAAAGCTGTTGGTTTTTGAAATTAATGATTTGTTTGTGTAAGATATAGTAATGTCTGCTGTTTTCTGCTAAAGAGGAAAACACGTCATGTGAAGTGTGACTCTCCATAACAATGCCTTGCATATGATTCATACCGCCTGTGTTTTACACATCTCACATTACAAGCACAGCAACAAGATTTCAGCTTTATTTTATGTGTTAGACCGACACAAAGCAGATAATAGCTGTTCAGTGGAAGGAAAATTATTAAGATTTCTATGAATAAAAACCGAAAAGCCTTACTAGCATAGCCTATTTTACTCCGGTATGCTAAAATATAAGAAAATAACACAACGAATTGCCTTCAGCAGGTGTGATGACCAGAAAACGCACCATGTTGGTCAAGAAGGGTAACATGTAGCATCACTGTGAACACAGCATGCCCACCATGAAACATGGCGTCGCATTGTGGGGATAGTTTACTTTTCCATTAACAGCAAAAACTGGAGATTATAGAAATTGCATAGAGATAAAGTCGGGGCAATTCTGGGAGGAAACCTGCTGAGGTCGGGATGGAAGTTCCCTGTCCACTAGGACTCTAAAAACCACTGGCGTCTGGTCGATAGGGGGCGCTGGAGCGCCGCCCTCACAAACATAGAAGAAGGACGATAAAAATAAAAATGATCAGCAGTGAATTTCCACCGACAGACTCAGTACTCTTCTTGAAGCTAAATAACCAATTGCGTTGTTAGGTAAAGATAATAAACATTTGTCGGCGCCCGGATACCAGAGTTTCTCGTTGCCATGGTGATAACGTTGCTAATGGCGACGGCAGTCGAGGATTTTCCGGTAAGCTACAGCTTCTGTTCTTCAGTACGTTTTATTAGTTTTAGCTGCCATATTGCTTTGCTCTTTTTTATTTACATTTTAATCCGCTACTTTCATTTGTTCTTTGCTTAAAATCAGTTATGAAGGTTGCTGTGGTTTATTTGACGCTTATATGTTCTGGTTAGCATGTTGCTAATGGTGTTGCTAAGACTTATTTTTTAAATTATTAATGATGATAATGCTGTTGCCTTTTTTGAGTTTAAGCTAATATTATAATGTTAATGTTTGGTTTATGTCAGTGTTTTCTGGATCAAATGGCTGACTATGAACATTCAAAACATTTCAGCTACACTACAAATATTTCAAAAAACACTCATAAGTAAGAATGGCCCATTCAAAGTCCTGCCCTAACTGTGTCTGTGCTGAGCCTCTGGCTGAGCTTCACCTATTTTCCACAAAATAACGGGTCAAATTTTCAGTCTCTACATGTGTCATTTTAAAAAAGGATTAATTCAGAGAGATAAAATACAAATTAGATTAGGTTTTCCAATAAAGAATTCAGAAAATTAAAGCTATAATTTTTCTTTCACTTTAGAACCGTGACTTCTTTGTGCCACAAAATGGGAATAAAGGAAAATGCATTGACATTAGCTGTTGTCAAACTCAGGGCGTGGGGGCTAAATCTGGTCCATCAGAAGTTTTTATGTGACCCTCTAGATAGCTCCACAAATAGATCCTTCAAAATAAATGTGTGCATATCATTTTATCAATCAAGTCTAAGCTGTTTTTATCTGCAAACCGCCAAATTACATCAATGTGACAATATTATTTAACTCATTAAATGCAGAGCCAACTTTGTATTCGTAGTTTTGACTGTTTGCTAATGGGTAGTTTTATCAGTACATTCTGCCACAACTGGCCCTTGGAGGACATTCATGATCTTTAATTAGCCCAAAGTGAAAATGAGTTTGACACCCTGTTCTAATTGCACAAAATAAAAAAAGTTGAAGGGATGTGAATACTTTTGTAAGGCGGTCAGTGTTAGCTCAGAGGAGGAGAGCGCTCACCTGGAACATCACCCTGTATTGCTCCTCAGGCTTTTGAACCACACACATGTTGCACCCCATGGCGACGGCTGGCAGGGAATGACGGACCCTGCTGGTCCTCCAACTGAAGTTTGGTTCTTAAGGCAGTATTCTTTGTCTGTGGCAGTGGGAGAGCCCCACCCTCATTCGCAGGGGGTTGTGGTGTGTAACACCAGTCCTCTTCAGAGTGACACACAACTCATCCACAGCAGGGAAGGGCACAGTTTAATCGGCTGCGTCACTGATTCGCTGTCTTTTGTTGTGCTCAAATGTTGGAAATCATTTTATTTCCATTGAGGTTTGTGTGCTTATTGGCGGATCTCTCTTCACACTCTAATTGTCCTGCAGGTTTGTGCTTCATTAATCAATCAGGCACCAGTTTCAGACGTGTCAGTGCTTCTCCCAGACAAACGCGATGGTGCAGAACTCCTGCTGTAGCCAGCTACTCTGGGTCATAGAGGTGTAGAGCTGCAGCATCGAGTAGTTACTCCCGGAAGACGCCCGCTGTGGCTGAACTCCCCCACTCTCACAGTGCTACCCGTTCAAACAATAAGACCATCTAACAACTTGAGGAGGCTGCCTCTTACTCCTCAGTCCCACATTGTCCTACCCTCCTGCTTTGCTCTCCAGGTTTGCTGAGATAACGTGTCTTTGCTTAAAGCCGAGTCAGCACTCTGTCTTGCTCTGGTCATCTACTTAAGGATCAGCGTATGGTTAGAGGTATTTCTTAATGCAACTGCACTGAAACTCCTTGAAGGCATGAGTGGGATTGAAAGCTTTGTGTCAGGTTGTGCCCATGACACCATTAGCCAGAAGCTGCAAGCCCTTCCTGTGCACTGAAGATAAGGTAACCTGCGACACACCATCCTTTGAGCTACAAGCTGTTCTACTTACAAACACACACCACTATTTATTCGAAACAATACAAGGCATTTAAATTAACTGCACCTACAGTGAGTCTCAGAAATATTCCATTAGTCCTCGGATGTGGCTCACTCAGCACTCAAACTGCTTCAGGGTGAACTAGTGATGGATTATGTTTAGATTAGTGACCTCTTGAGCAGTAATCAGACAAGACTTCAAGATGTTGAGAGAAAATCAATAAAAAACAGCTCATGGATCAGTTCGATTTGCTGGCATATTGAAGAAAGGGTTTTTCCCCCTTGAAATTCTGCAAACATGCTCCTCAATATTGATAGTTGCCCTAAAGACCTCACTTTTCACAGTTTGCAGGGACCTGATCTCAATCTTAATGCAAGTTCCTCTCCTGTCTTCTTCCTGTGAATCTCGTCTTCTGGGTTAAACCTTCATCTTTTTCTTTAATCCTTGAGCGAGGATCGTCTTGTCTGAAAGGTCCATCGACAGGGTCGCACAAGCTAATCCTCAGTCAAGGCTCCACAGGACCTGTTTCCTTTATGCGTAAAGCCTGTAATCCCCCAAACTCCGACTCCTCTCACCAGCCACACACTGAGACGAAAGCTATCTCTGTCCAATTAGAAGCATGACAACTCGGCCAAAACAACCCCAAACTCTGGAGAGCGAGGCGCCAGACGCGCTCAGCAGGCAAGTGTGCTCCAACTGTCACCCTTTTCCATTTTCTCCTGCTTCATATCTGTCTACATGTGTCAGCCCTACATGACTGTCAGGATGATGCTCTGCCTCTCATCTCCTTCAGGATGACAAACACGACATGACAGGGTAAATATTGCCTTCGTACATTTAAGAAAAAGAGTCCTCCGCTGGGGAAAAAAAAAAAATGCACGTGGAAAAGTCAGTCCATCATGAAAAACAATCCAGCATGTCCAGATATCCCTCCCCTTTTTTTTCTGGTCAGGCTGATTGTCGAATCCTCGTCAAAGTGTGATTTTATAGTCAATGAACGAAATGAGAGCGCTGAGAACATTCCAGGTGGTTGGAGTGGTGAGCAGTGCCTGTCTCAGGTCAGTGATAAATGTCCATCAAGATCAGAGGAAGCTCTAAGGGCTGATTGGAGGAGACTTCTTGGCTTCTCCCTCCGGGAACGCCAGTAAACGCACTCCCCCCTCTGCAGCAGGGGGGGAGGCACAAAAGGCACTTGTTTCCCAGCGGTGATGGAGGATGCAGATCTGCACGCAGCACTGCCACAACTAAACCCAAATCTTCAAGATCCTGCACCTAACAACTCCCGTTTTCTGTCTCTTTCCCCCTCCACACCCTCTTTTTCTCCTGATTCAGGGCTGGGCTGCTGCAATCTCTTCCAGTCCCCCCTATAATTTTTACACACACCTCATTTGCTCGCCTCTCGCCCCTCCTCACTCTAGCCTGCCTCCTCCGTCTCTACTCGTCTGCAGACGAGGGAGAGAGCAGGCACTGGAAAGTCTGTGTGTTCGGTGTGTGCAGGACGGAGCGAGATAACGAGCAGAGCTGCATGAAAGTGAATGAAATATGAAGGTTTGCATGTGCTGCAACATCAAGACCCAAACAAACAAGGTTCAGCCACGCGTTTCATGGCATTTAGGAAATTCGGACTCCGCTTGTGTTTTTCATAGATGTCTTGAAAGGGGGAAAAAAGATGATTGCTCTTCTTCAAGCAGTAAAGATGCAGGTGGAGAGCTTGAGACTGCTTCTGCATTCAGATGAGGCTTTGCACTGACACAAAGAAAGAGCAAAATGGGGGAAAATAGAAAAGAAAAAACAAGTGAATAACAGGTGTGACAGGATAAATTGAAAAATGTGGAGGAGAGGGAATGCAAATGAGTGAGTGGGAGAGCAGTGGCGAAGCGAAGATGAAGTGAAACAATGGTTCCCTGCAGTAATCAAAATGACCTGCTGAAGGCGGGGGTAAAACACATGGAGATATTCCAGTCTGAATTACTGCCTGGGAGATACTTATGAGTTAAAAGTCTCCTTCATTTGCTGTGCAGTTCCACATCCAGTGATTTCCCAGTCAAGGCTTTTTGCTGCAGAGGCTTTTGCCAAACGCCACCAGGCTGGAGAAGGAAGCCAGTCCATAAGGGAGAGATGAGAATTTCGTTAAAGATGCTCTCTCTGCAACCTTAGAGAGTCATTTATCAGCTTGCCCCAAATAAAGAGCCACATATCCTTGTGTGTCTTTTTCTGCTTTTTGTGTTTTTCTTTTTCTCTCTCGCTCTCAGACACACATCCAATCCCCCACCCCTTGTGGGATATTGTCCATGATCCAGGCTGAAACAGGATTTCATGGTGGCTGTGTGTGGCTCAACAGCCTTACAAGTATTCCTGCCACAACCCTGTTTTTGTCACTTAAAGCCAGCCAAATTACATTGCATGGTGATCAGAAATAGAAACAATGTCAATATTGGTGTTTACAGATCTATAAGCATCGACAATTCTGCTCTAAATGTGTGTACAGATGTACAATAAAACCAATCAATTTATTGTCTCTACCCACTTATCCTTGCAAGGTCACAAAGGGTCTGGTGCCTGTCTCTGGCCCATTGGATGCCTCTGGTGGCCAATGGGCAAGAGACAGAGTAGACCCTGGGCGGGTCGCCTGTACAAACAGCCATGCATGCACACACTCATACCAAAGAGCAGTTTGGAGGGACAGATTAACCTAAAAGTCATGTTTTTGCACTGTGGAAGGTAGCAACATCAAACCCTTACATGCACAGGAAGAAACATGTAAACTCCAGACAAAGAGCAAAGACTAGGAATCGAACCTGCAACCTTCTTGCTGCATTGCAACAGTGCTAACCAGCGACATTAATAAATATAAACATTACTACAACTTGCAACTATTAATGCAAATTCTGACAAATTTTGCATGAAATTGGAATTTTCACCAATCATTTTAACTTTTCCAAATCCGACCAATCACCAAACATTTTCTGTATTTCCTTCTTTTTTGACCAATCATTTTAGCCCCTTTCTAATTTAACTTGCTGTTTCACAACTTAATCTCATTAACAAGGACACTAATGTTACATATTTTGCTTTTAAACATTTTTGTAAAACCACGTAATGGCAAAAATAGACATGAAAAACTTTACAATTCTTTAAAAGTGGTGCCACAAAATCAGTAACTAGACTACAACAATCACAGAAAAACATTGCAACATCCTGGACAGACTGACTAATAATAATACCAACCAGCCATCTTGGTTGGTTGGCATTATTATTAGTTGGTATTATCTTGGTACCAACCAAGATGGCCACAATGCTGAAAGCACCATAATTTTACGATTAACTCACACATGCACAGATATTGTGTCTGTCAGCTTTACTTAGTAACGCCCAAAATGCCACAGGATTGTGGCATCATGTTTTAAAATATCAATCGTATGAAGCGCTTCACGTCTGAGCAGGTGGGTCCAACCGGTGCAAATCGTTTCAGGAAGTTTCCTACTTAAATGTCACGGTTTGTTATTCATTACTTCCTCGTTACCCTCACCTGAACAGAGGTCAAGTAACCTGGAGTTCAGTGCCCTTTAATTTCTGAGCTGAGCTTCACCTTTGTTCCAGTGTTGTTCAACCCTATTGACCTCTTAACTTTTCATGAATAGAAAGCAAGAATGCAGAGGGAGAGCTGAGACATTTAAGAATCTCTCCATTTTCAGAAAGACGGGGAAGAATTTAGCTATTTTGTTTTCTTTGTAAAATAAAAGCTGGATGGATGAAACTAATGGAACAATGAAGGAAGTGCGGAAATGCAATCATTGTTTCCTTCCAGTATGAGTCGTTCAGCGACTCTTGTCACTTTAAATCCAAATAAGCTTCTGGTGGCCACAACATTTACACTATCCATGAAAATGGCTGCAAACAGATGCACAAATATACATTTGAAAAGCATTAGTAGAGTCTCCTGCACAACCAACAAGAATGGAGCAAGTGGTTTCTGGATGGTAAGTCAACAGTGAAATTCTTCTTTTTTCCATTTGTTTTTCATGTCTATTTTTGCCAGTACATGGTTTTACAATAAGGTTTTAAACAAGCTTGCCATTGTACAGCTCGTACAGTGATAAAACCAGCTGACCAATTGTGCTGGTTCTCTTTTACAACTCAGAGAAATTTATGAAATGGCTCTTTTTCCAGACACAAAACATTAACTTTAAAAAAAGATCTGAGTTTTTTTTTTTTTTTTTTGAAAGCTTGAGCTGTTTTAAAAAAAAAGTTCAAACCCAAAAAATACAAAAAGTACATTTTGTACAATAGGTTCCCTTCAATTCGAGTTACATGCTTTGCCAGGCAACTTAGGAGCGTTTGTTTGAGACAGTTTCCAGGGGAGTGAGAGAAATAAACGATGCAAGGAGTTTGGAGAGCAGCAGGAACAGAGGGATTTGAGCAGGGGCTAATAGTAGGAAGTGAGGTAAAAGCCTTGTAGCCCGGTCTAACGGTTTCTGCCTCCATCCAGAGGATTTCCACTCCTCCAGAGGGAAGCAGGGCCTCATCGCAGCAGCAGATGGAGTACAGGAAGAATTTTAACAGAGTCCTCATAATTTATTTACTGCTGTGAGCAGAAGACTGCTAGTAAATAACATGCTGCAGGAAAAACCATATTTTATATTGTTTTGCATGCTTAACACACACACACACACACACACACACACACACACAGTGGAGGTGTTTATAGGAGAACAAGCTTGTTTGAGTGTGTCCTCTTTGACAAAGTCAGGCTGGTGATTGACAGGTCATTTAAAATGACCTTTTACAGAAGGTTCATTCACATTCTGGAGAAGTCACCTTGTGTGTATGAAAGCTATCAAACAGAGGAAACGAGGAGAAGGACTGAGATGACATGAGACAGCAGAGGAACAGATGTGAAGGCATGATGGAAAAGAAGGCCAACATGTTTGATGAAAGATGACAGGAAACCTTACGTTGCATTTTTGTTGTGTTGTTTCAAGGCACCTCTGTGGTCCATTATTTAGATTCATTACTGATTTGCTAATCACAATATTACTGCATTCATAAAATGATTATTCCTAGGACCTAGGATGGGTTTAGTTTATTATATTTAGCAATTGTAGTGATATGCAGAGGTTCTGGCATTTACTGAGATCTTAACTGTGAATTATTATAAAGGAATAAAAGTACTCGGATTCTTTATGGTGCGTTCACACCAAGCGCGTTTTGAGCGTCAGGTGCCTCTGGTTTACATTCAAAGTCTACGCGTCAAGAGCATCCAACACATCCAACGGAAAACAACGGGTAGAGGTGACGCGCCCTCGAGGGGCATCCACTTAGACTTGAATGTGAATCAAACACACTAGATATACAGCAAAATGCCAAGCATCGGCATTCAAAGTGAACACACATCGAACTCGAAGTGTCATACGTGCTTGGTGTGAATGCAACATTACTGCTACAGCCAACGGGGAGAGATTTATTTACATCTGCAAATAAGTTCAACAAAAACAACACATCTTCTACAAAATATCCAAAATCACTCAGCTTTTGCTGGACACATCACTTTTTATAGGATTTCATCTCTATTGGTGTGTATTTGAAAGTTTAGACGAATGGCATCGCTTTCCTTCATTTGCGCAGTCATCCTGGCACAATTCATACTGTGTGTTTATTACACATTACAGGAATCGAAAACATCTGGCTACATCTCAAGAAGGTCGACTGACACTTAGTCAAGTTGTTTCCTTATCTGACCAAACAGAAACTTCCTTCTGACTCCTTTGACTCCAGCCGGCTCTCTTTAAGCACTCAAGCATTGTTTCCCCGCCAAAGTAACCTGGATCTGTGCCATAACTTTTTCCTTGCACAACAGTATTACAAAAACATTTCTCTCTGACATTATCAATATGTAACATTTGGTTATCGGCTAGAAAAAGGCTTACAACTTTTGTCTATTGTTATCCTGGCGTATCTCTAGTTAAGTTGTGATACACGAAGATGCAGAAGAACAGACTGAGCACTTCTTTTTGCTCAATATTTTAAACATTTCTGCTGTCTTTCATCGTTTTCTTCCATAGAAAGTACCATCTCTGTCTGTCGTCAGCTTCCAACCAGTCGCAGCAGATGGTCGCTCATCCATAAATCTGGCTCTTCTGGAGGTTTTTTCCTGGAGAAAGAAACGTTTCCCTCCGCTTTGCTCTCCCATGGTGAGACTCCTTCACCATTCCTTGTGTTGTTTTATAACTGAACAGAATTTAACTTTATTTTGAAGAGAACTAGATTGCACACATCTTTAAATTATGTTTGAGGCATGTGCTGGTAATATTTAGATGCAGGATAATAAACCTGGAGCCTAATCTAGTGGTATTATTACTCTTTATGTAAAACGTCTTGGACCACTTCGTGGCTGATCTGCAACATTTCCAGTTTTCTGAAACTTGCAAATAAGTTTTGCCACAGTGTCGTGTGTGATGCTTATTCCATGTTTTCTGTTAAAGTTTCGTGCTACCATGCAACTGCTTCCCGATCCAGCCATCAGTATAATTTCAATTCTTTGCTCTTTTGTCAAATGCATCTTCTTGGGTATCTGAAATATAAAAGAAATACATTCTCCTATGTCTGGAAACTTATGGCCCACCCTGTATATTGGACTCCTCCTTTACAGTCCATCAGGGGAATCTGAGGATGGTTGATTTTGTGAATTGGGATTGGGATCAAACTGCTAACCGTCTGATTGGAGTAGAACCACGCTGCAGGCAAAGCAGCGAACCTGAGCTCATTCCTCATCGAAAGCCGAACAGCTGTTCTGCAGTCCACACCACTGAATTATGGAGACATTCTTCATGCACATACTGCTGCTGCTGCTGCATTTGAGCCTTGGACACCATGCATCACAGAGCCACTGAATGCATTTTACATGATGCTATAGGTAACTTACTGTTCAAAACAGCTGCAGTAGTTGGTTCTTTTACTTTATGAATACTTAGAAGACAAACATAATTTGACTTTTCTGTAAATCTAAGCAAACAAACTAATAATATTAGATTGAAACTGTTGAATACTCAGAACATTTTAGAAGGAAGGACTATAGCTTTCTTCATTTAATGGCAAAAATTTGTATTTTAATACTTTTTACACATTGTTTTTCATTGTAACAGGATACAATGAAAGGTTTAGTCAAAGTCAACCATTAACTTATGTGAACATATTTTTTAAGACTTGAGGACCCAACTTTATGTTGCCACCATGTACAGTATGGTAAAACAAATCTTCAAAGATATTTGCTTTTACAAAACCCAGCAGGAAAGATGTAGCAGCATCTTATGTCACCCTGAATGTACAAAACAAATTGGTGTCATTGTTTGTGTTGTTAACGGAGAATGACCTAAATACAGACAGTGACGATTTATTTTTTTAATAAAAAACTTAGAAAAAGGAAGGCAACCAGAGAGACAAAAAGCACATTGCTGTGAGAATGTGACACAAATTTCGTCACCTCTCCCTAAAATCTAAACATTGGTCAAGGAGGATAATTATTTTTAAACACCCTCCAAATCTGCCTAGTATGTTTATATGTAGCAGGGTTTTATTTCAACATGATAATTTATGTGAAGTTTGTTAAAATTTGTTTATTTATTCTCTGAATTGATTCTGTTTGTTTCTCCAGACATTTTTATTCGTGTTAAGTTCCGTTGCGCTGCTCTTGGCGGTTGGTGGTTTCTATAGCAACCGGTAACCGACAGCTCCGCCCCCTTTTTCTGTTTCCGTTCTGTAACTGGAATTTTATTAGGATCTGCTCCGTGTTTTCTGTGTAAGTATTAAATGTTTTAGCATATATTTTAGACAAATTTAATCATATACAGTGTTTTGATAGGTTTATATATGCTTTTATCTGTTATCATTATTAATGTTTTGTATTTTCGCTGTTTAATTTTACAACCGTTAACTGCTGCTATGCTAACTGTTGCTAACAGCTCATTGAGAGCTATTGCTTTGTAGTTTAAGGGCTATTATTTTATTTAATATATAGTGGTGGAAGCTGCTGGATTGATGTTAACCATCACCTGGATTCCCTCTTTTGTTGGGTATGTTTTAATTTTGATCCGTTATGTTTCAGTTATTATTATTAATTATGTAAATGTTAAATACCACTATACAATCACAATCAGCTGCTGCTTTTTGTCTTTCTGTCTGTAAATGTGAGGCAGAAGCTGCTGGACTGATTTTAACCACCAGCTTGATTTCCTCTTTTGTTAGAATAAATACAGAGAACTTGGAGCTGAGACGAACTGATGAAACCTTAAAACTTAATTTTCATGTGTAGCACACCTGCAATAAATAACACAAAGTAAATAGAAACAGAAGCCTTTCATCATGATTGTGTTGTCTGAAATTCATGTGTTTATATATACATGGTGACTAAATCAAGATTATTAATGAATATATGTGACAAACTGAGGAGTGTAGCTGCTGTCGAGCAGTAATAGGAAGTGTGTTTTTCTGTTTATGAAAGTGATGAGCGTGAAGCAGACACACTTAAGAGATGTTGAGCAGAATTGAGTCTGCCAGTCACAAACAGGAGGACAATCTTGTGGGGCATGTAAGCCCTCTCAAACAAATTAATGGCTTTTCATGGTGATCAGTGCGACGGTAGCTGATTCCCTGATGCCAGCCCATCAAATCCTCACTCATCCATGCTATTCCCAGTTCTCCAAGGCGCTTTTCTGCTCTGTCTCTTCAGACAAAGGAGGAGACGTAAATGTGGAGGTGAGACTGAGGAGGGAAGGAATTAAAACAATGTCTTTCTGTTGCTGCCACTTTAAAAATGCATTGAATCTTTTCCTCAGAAGGATCCAGCAGCTTGAATATATATCTGCCATGAAACAGAAGGAACAAAATGTAATTGGAAAGCAGGAAGTGGATTGAGAGAAAGTTTGGCACAGGCACAGAGGATATGAAGTGGCCTTAATTAATTCAGCTTAAGAGTCTGTGATGCTTGAATGACTTCCTGTTCCAGCTGCTGCGTCTGCCTGGATCACAGATGAACTCACATTTAATAACAGGGCGGAAACGTATCTCATCAGCTCAGCAGAAACGACGGGATTGTCACGGTCTTTTGGTTTGCTACATTTATATATTTACATTATCTCTGATTTAACAGTGCAGGATTTTGTCACATTATAGAGATGAACATCATGCTTTTATTTGGGGTAGACCAACACAAAGTGGGGCATCAGTGTGAAGTGGGAAGAAAATGATACATTGTTTTTACAGAAAAAGTCAGATTAGTGTGGTTTGCATTTCATTTTGGGTCTTTTGCCTTTTGTATGTAGACATATTAATATTAACATATTTCCCACCAAATTATTCCTTTGTAGCACTTGCTGTGATGTATTATGCTTCCTTGACCAGTTTACAATAAAGAACGTGTTCATTTAATATTTTGCTCAAATTTATTCTCAGATAATCAGATTTCAGTCTGGTCACTTCTGCCTTTTTTGGGCTGCTTTAGGGCGTCTTGTCACTTTAAATCCAAATAAGCTGCTTGCCACGCCCCCAACTCAATGTTTACGCTCATACGAAAATTAATGATAACAGATGAGAAATTCTACAACTGTACACCTTTGAAAAGCAGAAGTGGAGCCTCCTGCAAAACCAGTAAAATTCAGAAAGTGGTTTTTGAATGGTAAGTCAACAAAAAAGAATGTACTTTTCTAGTAACCACTGTAGTGATCTCTATGTAGTAAAACCAGGTGACCAAATGTACTGGAGATCTGCTTGGGTTGCTAGGTAACAGCGCAGTGTGACTTAACAATTGGGAGATTTTTGAAACGTTTCATTTTCCAGACATCAAAAAACATGAACTTACTGCTAAAAAAAATGGAAATTTTGCATAATAGGTTCAATCTAAGAGTCACTGTCCTGCTTGAAGACCGGGAAGGGTTAATGGTTTCCTGGAAGAAAACCATTAACGGGTTTTCTTTCAGGATTACTCCTCATTTAGCTCCACCAAAATTAAATGCCTTTTAAGCACAACTGGATTTTATTCAGGAGTATCACAGTAAAGAGGACTAAACACATGTGCAATCCACACTTTTCAGATTTTTTGTAACCCTGCTGGCTGCATAATAAACCGTAGCCGGACCATTTTCTATTGTTCCACTTCCCTGCCCTTCTTTAGCATCATTAATTCACCCAGTCAATAAAGATTGTATGATTCACCCAGAAATGTATTCAACAGCCCACATCCCTCACCTGTTTGTCCCTGGGGACGCTGGAGCATGGACACATTCAGTCCATGATGCATTATTAAGAGAAAACACACAAAATCCAATTAATTCCACTTTATCCCTCCACCTCTCCCCCTTAGCAAGCCTCCATCCCCAGAGGATCTCACCTAATGTGATCCCCAATGCCCATCTACCTCTAAATGTGAGCTTTTACAGCCACAAGCTGGGGGATTTTTTCCTAAGAGCAGAGCTTTTATTTACCAGATTAATAAAATAAATGCAGCTTCTTCTTGAAACTGCAGGAGCTGCAGGGAATGTGAGCAGAGTTTCTGTGTGCACACATGAGGGTTTTCACAAACCGGGCTGCTGCTTCTTCTTCTCCTCTTCCTGTCAGCACAGGCATATAATAAACAACATCTTTCCCACCCAGGTGTTTTCAGACATCTGCGAGCTGTGACTCCTCTCCTCCCACACACTCCCACTGTTTCGCTGCAGGCACAGCCGAATCAATACGTCATTAGCCAGTCTCTCTGCTCGCCCCGTGGTCTACATCCCTCTCCACTCTTACTCCATTCCACCTTGCAGTTCACACTATTTCACGCCGCTTTCCCCCTCCTTCACCGCTCTTCTCATCGTCCGCCGACCCCCTCTTTTTCACTTTCCAGCCTTGCTTCTGGCCTATTGTGTGTTTCTGTGCAATGCTGATGTGGAAGGGAGAGGGAGGAAGGAGGGATAAGGATGATAGAAGAGGGTTAAAGGTGTAAGACAGGGATTTGAGCCAGAAGCATGAAGGAGGGGGAGGAGGCGGTTGAGGGCGAGATGTGAGAGTGAAATGATTGTTGTAGTGGCTGGATCCCTGAAGGAGTGAGTGGTGGCAGGAACGACAGCCCCATTACTTCCTGGTAGCGGTGGCAGCTCCTTGGGGCTGCTGGGTAAACAGAGAGGCTGTACAGGTGTCAACACAGCCAGGTAGCGACATCACTCACCGGGAGCAGTCAAACGAGTTAATGAGCATCGGCGAGTCAGGCCGGATGCAGGCCAGCTACAATAATATCGAATGTGTTAATAATGGAGGGCAGAAGGTAACATAAGCCAGTAAATAAAGAGTGTAAGGATATATATGCATGTGATAATGTCAATAAAACTGGAAATTAATGCAGTTATTTCCATAAATGGCTCAATGATTGCCTTGAACCTTTCAGGGCGTGATCTTCCAAAATTACTCCAAGAGTGCTTCACAAACTCACCCAGAAGGTCACAGAAGAACCAGAAACATCTGAAAACCTGCAGGCTTCAGTTAAAGTCCGAGTAAATAAGGAAGATGCGTAAAAATGACATCAGGGAGAGTTTCAAGGCCAAAATCACAGCTGACTGAAAGTAGCACATTTACCAAGAAATGGATCAATAATCCCAGAGGTTTATAATCTATGCTGACAGCATTCACACATCCTTTTTTACTGTTGTATCCATGAAGTTCTGGTCCAGTTTGTTGTCCTTCCTGTGCTCTTGCATCTATCCAGAAATGACCTAAATTGTCCCTATGATTCATCAAATTGATTGGTTGTTTCAGTTTAACAGCTTCTGTCCTTTGTTGTGCTACAGCAGAGAAAATACTGAAATGGTTGACCTGAAAGCATAATAAAGAAAGAAATCAATATTAAACATTCAAATATTTATGACTGACACATTTAAATTATTTGAGATAGATTCATTCATCTTCATGTGTTGCTTTTTTAAATCTATTTGAAGTTATAAAAATGAATTCATCGTTATCTATTAATTGAATTGTGTCTCCAAAAACAGTGTGAAGTGTTGCATCTTAATCTCTGCATCTTTTCTATTTTCTTTCCTCTATATTCATCCGTTCACAACCCACCCCGCCCACTTAGATATAAATGTAAATGTTTACTTCAGATTCCTCTTTCTCTCTCTTCAGAGAGGGGAGGGCCGAAGAAGAAGGTGATCAAAACACGGACGCTGTGCAGCGATTTGAAACCAGTTCAGAGACGCACCTCAGCCACAACGGGAGCAGAAAAAAGAAAAAGAAACGTGAGTGAAATAAAAACAATACATGAGGACCACTGTTAAATTCAGACTCCTTTCTCAGTCACCTCCTGGTTGGTGCATCTCTGAGGCTCCAAGAGGAATAATGAAACATGTGAGGCTGCAGCAGGTCTCCAAAAACAAGAGGGGAACCAGGTTTTAGCTACGGTGCCATGCTCGCTGCATAGAGAGGCGTTGGCAACAGGGAGGGTGCAGATGGAGGAGTCACCTTGAGGCAGAAGAGGGGAAGGCGGAGGAACGGCACGTAATGCCAATATATTAGTTTTCAGGTCATGATCCTGCAGATATACTGAGCAACACTCCAACTGACCAGCATTTTTAAATGGGAAAAAACTTAGTTTGTGGCAAGATTTCATGAAATGAAGTGGTGTTATTAAAGAAATCAACCAAAAAGGAAAAGAAATGGAAAGAACAATCACCTGCTGCTTCCATTTATGGTTTAGCCTAAACTGTAAATGTTTTTAAATTTGACCCAGAAGACATTTGTTTTCTTCCAGTGCAACTGGAAATTAAATCAGATTGATTATATTGATTTGTCGCAGCTTTGTGCTTCATGATATGTCGTGTTTCATAACAAATGGAGAAGCAGCTTTCAGCTTCTATGCACCACAAATCTGGAACAAACTTCCAGAAAACTACGAAACAGCCGAAACACTGAGTTACTTTAAATCAAAGCTAAAAGCCCTCATGTTTACCATTGACTTTGACTCGCAATAAGTGGAACATTAATCGATATACTTGATGTTTTGATGATTTTGATGATTGCATTTGACGAAATGTAAAGTTTCTTACTGATTTCACAATTAATGACTGTTTGTTGTTTTCATGATGTAAAGCACTTTGAACTGCTGTCCTGCTGAAATTTTCTGTATAAAAACACGATTGATTGAACAAATTGAACAAATTTTAAACAATCTTTATGCTAATGCTGGCTTGGATTTTTGTTTAAGAGCATTAAAGAAAAATAAACCAGATTTAAATGTAATTTCATCTCTATAAATGTTGACAACTATCATTTTACTTCCATTTCCAAACTATGCACTACTTTCTGTAGCATAAAATCCCAATAAAACTGTGAAAATGTTTGTTTTAATCTCTCAAGTGCTGAAAAAGTTGATACATGAATATTTTTACAAGGTGCTGTGACATGTGGGATAACGTTTGTTCGAAGGAAAATTCAAAATTTGTTAAAAAAAATAAAGTTAAAGATTCTTCTTTTTTTTTATCTTGGTTTAAAATTCATAAAATTGATTTGGACATTGCTTCCAGTATTTAACCACAGTGACCTCTGCTGGTGAAATACAGCCACTGATTTAAAGTAAACCTGTTCAATTCTTCATTATATTTTCCATATTGTTAAACAAAGAAACATCCTGTTGGGCAGTAGATGTGAAAGTATTATTACTCATTAATGACAAAAACTTAATATTGTACCTAAACTTTAAAGGTTTACATTTACCTGGTATCACGAGTTTAAAGATGGGTTCTTCATTCATTCTGATAAATAAATGAGCGTCCAATTGCCAACCTCAAACAGTTGTGACTCGTGACTCGTCCGGCCATGGTTCTGTTTAACCTTAATTCATAAAAGCATGAATAAAGATGACCCTTCTTGTAACTGCATAACCTGGTCCCCATTTTAATTATTCCTGTAAAACCAGCCTGAACTTGTCTAATTAAAAGAAACAATCCCTCAGTCCTGGCAGCGTACCCCTGAGAGCATCATTAATTTTACTCTTCACACTCCGTCCTATTAAAAGCATTTTAATGGAGAAAGTGAGCCGGCAGAGAACAAAGCAGGAAATCATACCAATGAATGACTACATGTCTGTGCACACGTAATAAAACAAGAAGCTTTAACACTTCAAACCACGGCTGGTTCTTCAATCTGAGGAAACCTGGAGCGGGACCTGGAGGCTTGCTCAACATGTTAACCTCTTTAACTTACTGCCATTTCGTCAAAAAAGCTTTTTAACATGTTTCAAAAATAAGAAAATCTCAATGTACAGCTTTTAAACATTATAAATTCAAAGAAAATGGAAAGGCACAATGATTCTGAATGGTAATTCTTAACAGCTGTAAAGTCAGGCTGAAGGGAAAAGTGAGACATTTAGCCTGACATGAATCAACACTTTGTGCATAAGACTAGAGTAAATTAAACAAATAAAGCAGTCAGGCTTTTTGGGAATGTGTAATTTATAGATCAAAAATGTAAAAAAGAATTTTGCAGGTATGCCTCATTAATAGAAAAGCACCCAATTTGCAAATTTTCTTGAACTCAAACTAATGAAAAAATATATATATATAAGCTGTATATATATTTATATACAGTATATATTTTAGTTGCAGTATTTAGCCCAATGTAATACATTAAATGAAAGCAAATTCACTTTCAAATTTAATATAAAATTAAAGAGAAAGTAGAAATTTTTTTTTATTTTTTCATAATAATTTTATACTAAGCAAAAATGAAAAGTATCTGTTCTTCCAAGCCACAAAACAAGAAAATAATCCAGTTCTTCAATTAAAAAAAAGAAAGAAAAAAAAGCTGGAGCATAAATTTTGTGAAGAAATTTAAAATGTTTCGGTTAAATCTGTAACCACAGCCAGCAGGGGGCCTCGTTGAGCTGTGTTTTAACAATATTAAAATTACTTAATATTGTACAAATTAGTACAGCAAACTAAAATTCTCCACCAATGACTGATTAAACGTAGCTGGGACAATAAAACAAGATATTTATTGTACAATAGTAAGACATGATCTTCCATTTTGTTTACTCATACTGAACGTTTCAGTGATCTAAAATTCAGTTTTTCCTCTTCCAACGTCAACATTTCATAGAGTCTGGAAAAAAAACGAAATAAAGTGGTGTTTACCATTAATTTCAACTTGGCTCTCACGATGAAGAATGGCCAAGTACATGCAACTTTTAGAAGGGAACATTAAATGCACTTTAAACTGTAAAAATCTTTCTATTGCAAGGGGTGGACAAAAGTATATTGAACATGGTTTAAGATCAATGAACAGAGTCGATCGGTTTGGTCGTAATGCTGCGTTCAAGTTGTGACCGGAACTGGGAAATTCCGATTTCCCAATCTGAAAAATTAACTGGTAGCCCTCTTAAATCGAAATATACACTGGGAAAGAGGGAGCAACTCCGACTACCTCAAGTTACGATGTGTACGGCTACTCACATTAATATTAATAAAATGTGGTGGAAACATGTTTATTTTGCAAGACACATGTAAAAGTGCGTCAGATATCAATGATATATTAAAAGTGGGGTTTGCTTATGGAAGTTAAAGCTTAAAATTATGTTTAGCAGTGTTGAAATCCAGACTTCTTATCTAGAACGCAGCCTGTCACCAACGGTCGGACATTAAACCCAGCTCCGGCTTCCAACTTCCGAGGTAACCAAACGCAGCATTGAACCCCTGGATCTGTATCCAACCGCTCTGTGTGACGTCATCTGAAGGATGCGCGCGCTTCTTAGCAACGGAAGTTGTGTGTTTGGCTTCTGCCGTTAACTTCCCCAACACACCTCCTTGCTAATGCTGGTTACGGCTTACCTTCAGCGCAATAATGCCGAATTGTTGCGTGACCGGTTGTCATAACCGCTATTACCCCGGTTCCACCATAAGGTTCTACAGAGTACCCAGCGGGAACCGGCAGTTTCAGGTCCAGAGGAGGCGTTTGTGGATAGAGGCGATCCAACAAGCCAACGGCAGCAGTGAAATCCGTGCAGACGCTCGCATTTGTGGAGTTCATTTCATCTCAGGTAGCGTAAAGAGCCGCTTAGCAGTGAGCAAAAAATATTTAATAATATGAGTTTGCTCAGTATTCTCTTCTTGAACCTTTTTGTTCACAGGAGAGGCTTCCACAGATCCAGACAGGCCTAATTTTGTCCCCACGTTGTTTACATGCAGTAAACTACGCCAGGGTCCAACTAGAAAGGCAAAATGGTAACATATATTGACTATTATTTTTAAATAGATTAAAGTATCCATTCTAAATACTAAATGCATTGCTACATTTTGCCTGGGACCTAAAAATAGACAAAATACTAATACTAAAGATCAGTATAAAGTGCTTAAACTCTGCAGTATGTCCTTTATTGCCATGTTTTGCTGTTCAATATGATGGTGTTTTCTATTTTGGATACATTGAAAGGCATTATCACAACAAAATTGGGCATAGATTAGGAATTATATTTGAAAACACAACTTTTGTACCACCATTTGACATATCTAAATGTTTTTACACCATCTAGTCCTACAACAAACATATCGCTGTACTACCACTAATTGTCTAAAACAGTTTAGAGCTCAGATGAAGCCAAATTAACTTGGTGTAAAGGAGAGTTGCAAACTGCAGTGCAAAATTGTATTTACAATATATTACAAAATCCTGCAATGGTGAAATTATTGGGAAATGTTGCAATAACTACATAAGTTGTGATGTATTTCATTTTTCTTTCCTCTCTTTTTCATCTGTTCTTACACAATTAATATTAAGTTAACGTGAAAAAAGCAAATTCATAACACTTGGATTATATTAGTTAACAATTACTGAACTCCAATCAGTTCTTTGCCATCTGAAAACTGCACACACTGATATGATGATCTATTTTTCTGCACTATTAAGATACAATTGGAGATCTTTTCTGTGTTTTTACGTATATATTTATGTAGATTTACATATTTATGAAAGAATATTGATTATAAACTCTTAATATGTGACAACTGAGTCACACACGGACTTCATCAAAATGTTTATGCTTCCTTTTGATTTTTTTTTTTTTTATTAATTAATTTATTTTAGTTTTGCTTTGGCTCCACACATAGAAACATAAAAACATTTTGTGAGCTTAAGCTGTTTTAAGATCAAAAACTCCTACATTTCCCTATATTTACATAAAAAACTGAACTGCTTTAAATATTGAATATATTGATTATGTTTCGCTCCAGTAATTGCTTAATTTGTCTTGCATTATTTTCTTAAGAAATTTGTTTTCATTGATCTTTTCAAGCTAAGCCTGTCAATTTGAATCTTTGCATGTGGTTTATTCGCCTCAGCAAAGCTGATGATTTGCTGCTTTCGTTCAATGAAGGCTGCAAATCATCAGGTTTATTAAACGATTTGAAGCAAAATTTCATAAGAAATTGAAGGAAATCTAAGTAACAAGTGTGCTTAAGTGCCATCCCTGTGCTTATTTGAGCAAACTTCATTTTAAAAAAGTTCAGTACTTCTCATTAAATGATCTACCAAACAGGGTTACATGTCGTGTATACGTGTTAATAAAAAAATGTCGGTTTTTCTCAGCATTCTTGCCTTTCTAAAGGTTACACATCAGTGTGTGTGGTATTGATTTGAGATTTAAACTGACAGAAGAGCAAATAAATTGTTTATAACTGCAAATCTAACCATGTTTCGCGCAGATAATGTGTATAATTATGACCAGCACAGACACTTAGCTGGTTTCTAGCCATGCAGCTCTGTGTGCAGCAGACTGTGATGCCTTGTGCAGTCTGACAGCTTTCTGTCAGAACTCGCCAAGCTGTCGGTGGGCATCAGTTCCCCTTCGCTGCAGATGAGACTGTTTCAGTTCAGCGCAATTTGTTCCTTCGACAACTATCGATAGATACTCAAACAACCCAGAGGAATTGTGTTTTTGGGGACACTAACACAGTCTCGTCGAAACTCATTTAGCATGTGCACTTGATTAGTTAATGTCACCTGCTAACAAATGATGTTATGATGTTTTCTGATATCTAATATCAGAAAACATCGGTTATTCTCCATAACAATAATATTAATATCAGATATTGATATTGGCCCAAATTTTTACATCTTAAAATTTTTGTATCTTATTAAAGCCCGCCAGGCTTATGACACACTGTAAATCTAAAATTACAAGATCAAAAATCAATTAATGTCATACTATGCCACATTATTAGATAATTTTTGGTTGATTATTCTTTCTCAAAGGACTTCTTCTGCCTGTCGAAGAAGTCAAAGACAGAAATCGAATGTGGAGACCAAAACCATAACAACAAGGGGAGACGATGAAGAGAATGAAGACACGACTACCGTGAGAGATGACGAAGAGACTGAAGACACGACTAATCTAAGAGACGACGAAGAGACTGAAGACACGACTACTTTGACAGAAAATGAAGACATAACTGCCCTGAGAGACGACGAAGAGACAGAAAAATCACCATCCCAATCTGCATCTCAGTGTCCAATGGACCACCAGTCGTCTGCTTTGATTGAAACTTCAGATGGACTTTTACCAGAAATGCAAACTTTGCCAGTGTCAAAGGTAGCAGTCACCATCTCTTTGTTGTACTTTCATGCACTTGTAGACTTTTAACTTTGCATTCTTTTTTTATTTAATACGGTTTGTCTTTTTTAGTACACTTATAATTTATTGTGGGTTTTTTGCCAAATAGGAGGAAGAAACAGAAGATGAGAAGATCCATGATAAAGACCAAGAAGTGACCGAATGTGAAGCTGAACCTGAAACGATGGAGACAGAAAACAAATCCAGCCCAAGTCCATCACCACAGAAACTACCAGGAAGTGTTTTAAAACCAGATAAAATGAATCCTGTCGTGCTCATAAAGCCTTTAGTTTTACCACAAGGTGCTTATCACGTTGACCTGAGCAGCTCTACCGCGGTGTCGTCCAAAGAGCAGCGTGAAGATGTGAGTCAGGGAGGATTAACGGAGTCGAGCGCCAACAAAGACCAGCCGTCCTTTCCTTGTAACCTATGCGATCGAACCTTCACTACAAGCCACTACCTGAAGCGCCACAAACTGCTTCATGTTCGAGACGTGAGGAAGTGCCTCAGGTGTGGCGCGCTCTTCTGCCGCCGCCACAACCACGTTTTGTTCCAGACGCGGGCCGAGCCTCTACCCGAGTCTGAGGAGAGTTCCTCCAGCAGCGAGGACGAACCTCTGGACGCAGAGCAGGAGAAAACGAGAAGAGTAACAGAAAAGGCTGACAACGCTTTGAATGTTCAGACTGCCACACCTCCAGACAGTCCTGCTCTCAGTAACTCACCGTTACTGAAGACTTCCAGCCTGACGGACGTCAGCAAACCTCTCTTGGTGTCGGTGAAACCTGCTGCTGTTCCCTCTCCACCCTCTCCGATCACCAGGTTCCCAAGCAACCCAGGGACCGTGTTTCAGATTAAACCGCTCCTGTCGGACACCTCTCCCGCTTTGATACGACCAAATCTTCCACAACAACCCCAACTCCCACCTTCCCTGAAGATCTTTTCCACTCAGCACCTCACCTCAGCCTTGCTCGATGTTCAGAGAAACTACGAATACATTTTAAGCAAGCCTAAAAATGTCGTGGTGAAATTCAAGGAGGAACCAGAGGAGCCGGTTCAAATTTGCCCAGTTAAGAAGCCAGTAAAGCAGGTCAAACTGGAGAAAATCGCTTATGACCTGGAGATGGTAATCTGACTTAAAGCTGACTTAAAACCTGACTTCAGTCAAACTCGCTTCAGTTAAAATGTGTCGCCTATAGAACAGTGTGCAATGGCTTAATCCAGATCTTATTGTAAATCTCTACGTAAGACTATCTTCTCTTCTCAAACATGGCTCCCACACTCACAGGCCTTTGATGACATCACATAAGGTAACCAATCAGAGTAAATATCCTAAATATTCAGATCTTTTCAGTCAAATCCCACTGTTGATGTGGCAGTATGTCTCTGATTGGTCAGAAATGGAGGAAATGCTGATGCTAAATTTTCATGAAAAGCTATTTTACTCTTATTTTTCATAATCTGGAATCATGGGATTGTTCTCCTAAATCATAAATTTAAACCATTTTCAACTTAAATGCAAGTCAAAAGCTTGTCAGTCACTCATCCAGATTAATGATTAATTCCAGCTGATCAGATTTCTGTGCCTCTCATGATGTCATCAAGACAAACGCCACAGAATTATGAGGTATTTTTTCCTTCTGTTTGCTTTTTAGAACAATATTTTTTGTGTGAAATAATGCAGTGGAAATCTACACGTCATATTTTACATGTACACGTGTTGGAAAAATAGGAGGGAAAACCTAATCAGTTCCAGGTAACCCTGATTGATTTGTCTACTGTAACTAAAGTGTAAGACTGTGATCAGTTTTCACTATTAATTATTAGAGGACTGCTGATTTCTGCTTTATTTTTTTCATGTTTTTGGGTGTTGGATTAATCAAGTCAAATTTTGAGCTATTCTTGATTCTATGTGACATTATATCACTACTGTTGGATTTTAAATGACACCTTTACATGTAATTATTAAGCTACGCCAGTAGGCATTCAAGCTGCAGCTTATTTTATATATATATATATATTTTTTTTTCTTTTTTGTCATTAAATTTTTTTGCACACAACTAACATTAGCAGTGTTTCACATTCCACATTATTTTTCTTTTCATTTCAGTTTCTTCTCTACCTCAGCCAGCTATAAAAGCAAATAAAACTGATTTTGTATTACAGATGAAAGCTGCTTCTGGACACAATGTATGTATGTTTAAGTACTCCAGTTTTTCGGATATAAAAGTATTAGATTTTTGTGTAGTGCTGTGTGCAAACTAAGGAAAAGTGGCAACACTGATTCCTGTTTTTCTTTCCAGAAAATGCCTGTCAGATTGTAAGACATGAACTAGTTTTGCACCTGCTTTGTTTACTGAATAAATAAAGATTTGTGTCACACTTGTTGTCTCTTGCTAGTTTTGCACTGTGTATTTGTTTCTTTCACCTCGGGAAATTTTCTTGGCATTAATGTTTTCCATAGACATCCCCAGATCTTTTTAAACTGTGAAACAATTTTTTGTAAATGACCCGTAAGCTTTTTGTTTTTAATTTCTGATTTTTCAGAAATGAAGCTAAAATCATGTAAAGTTTTCAACTTTTGGAGGTCAGAAATGTATTTTTCTCAACCAACTTGGAAATTTTGAGGGTAATCTCAAAATTTCTGAGTTTTTTTTTTTCTCTCTCTCTTTTAGCAAATTTCCAACTCTGAAATGTTGAGATTAATCTCTGACGAGAAATTTACTCATTATTTGTTTTTCTGTCTACAATGGCCCTAATACATTTAAAGAAACAAAATCATTCATTAACCACCTCAAAAACTCAGAGGGCCTTTCTGTGTCCATCAGCCAGAGGTGCACCTGAGTCCATCTGCAAGCTGTACACGTCCCATTGGTTCGGATGCGCCGATCACAATGACCGACGCCTCTGATTGGATGATTTACCCTTCAGTTCGACGCACTCAGAGCTCTGATTGGTTGGCTCATGTTCTCGCGTGCCTTCATACATGATAAACCAGTGGTGCTGATGCTGTGACAATGGGAGCCTTCCAGATATGCACCATCTGAACTGAGGGTCCGGCAGCGGCTGCACGCAGGCTTGACGGACAGCAGAGAAAACATCCGGATAAAGACACAAGGAGGAACCTCCTGCTTCTGCCCGGACAGGGTGAGTCTTACCCCGGAAACCAAGCTGGCATTCCCGGGCCGTCCAGTAAGCTTGAGGCTGGGGGCTGGGGAGCGAGTCTCGGGTACGATAGGCTGGAAATCCTGCTGGCTGTAGCAGCTTCAGCGCGTTTAAGACGTATTTTCTGCATGGCACGCCGCACACAGCACGTTGAATCAGCCGTGCTGTTTATTAATGCAGCTGTGAGTCAACTCATCCCTTTGCTGGACTGCATTGCGGAGAGCAAGCCTTGCAGAACAGCATCTAATAACCATTCAAATCCGGTTGACACACTGATCTCAAGACCGGTTCCACCTCATCGGTTTGCAGTTTTCACGTGTTTTTCATACTATGATAATCAGATACGAACGAGCAAAACAGTCGTACCTGAAATTTCATGTATTCCAGATTTTTCTGCAGCTGCTGCATGGATTATCAACGTTTTGGTTTGAGTGGGATGTGTTGATACTGAACACAATAAGCAGATACAGCTTCACTCGAATGCACACAGTTCTCAATCGATCGGTTAATCAAACTTTAATTGTAGAGCACTTTTCAAACAAACGAGTGTGGCGTAAAGTTGTTTGCACAGATCGAAAAACAGTCATAATAGAACGAAGTACTTGAATACATAAATTAATTAATATTTAGACAAATCAAACAATTTTGAGGAACTGAAATGTGTGACACAGGGGCGCCATGCTAGAGGGGGCGCCATAATTATGATGGAATAATTATTAATTGTAGGCATTTTCTGTATTTTACACTTTACTAAGTATTTTTGATTTAGTTTAGTGAAATAATTATCTTAGAACACTTAAATTAAGACAAAACTAACTTACAAGTAACTTTTCAGCACAATGTAGGAGCTTGGTTTAAGTCAATAACTCTAAATATTGATGAAAAGTACTCGCTAGAAGTGAAATAATCTGCCAATGGACATTTTTCCAATTTAACTTACAAAACGGAAAAAAATGTCTTGTTCCAAATAGTCCTTTCTCATTTACATTAAGGAATGATTGACTTAAAATGATAAAGTTCTCTTTCTTGCTGAAAAGTTACTTGTAAATTAGATTTCTCTTATTTCAAGTTTACTAACATGTGCAGTAGAAGCTCGACCAAAAATACTTGGTTAGACTTGTGTTTTTTAAATTGTATTTGCACAGTTTCTACCTAATTACCTTAGACAAATCTAACAATAATAATAATATTTATTTAGCCAGGTTTGTCCTGTCAACATGTCTTTTACAAGAAAGATCTGGCCAACATATTAATTGCGAATGACTTAAGTAAAACAATTGCACTTCTGCAGCTTGAATGTAATGGGATCAGAAAAATTAAAAGCTTTATTCCTTCTTTCTGTTCTGACGCAATTTGTTTGAAACTTGTGGATATGTTTTAATTTGTTTTACTTTTGCGGAAACGGGTTGCTGTGTGCATGGCGCACATACAGAGGTGACCATGTTACTTTTAAGAGACAGTACTGCATGATGACTATATAGTCTTAGGAAGTGAGGAAGCACAACAAATAAACAGTTTAACTTTTACAGCAGTTATAACCCCTTCTAGCTGCTCCATAAACCAAGGTTGTTCGGCTTCCTTCTGCTTCCCCAGTCCAGAGATGGGAGTGTTCAGCCGGCAGAAGTTTTTCCAGGAGCTCACTCATGGCTGCCTGCTGCCTACAGCTCAGCAGGGCCTGGAGCAAGTATGGCAGCTGCTGGTTATCTGCCTGCTGTGTCGCCTGCTCTGGATGTTAGGTGAGCACTTTGGCTTCGTTCACACTGCAGCCCGAAGTGACCCAAATCCAATTTTTATTTATTTATGTGCCTTAATGTGACCTGTACTTGATCTTTTTTTCATGACAGTCTTTTTCAAATGCGACCCAGGCCACTTGAATATCTGATACGTATCCGATCTTTCCTTCTTCTTCTTCTTTTGTGTTTTATTGGCGGATGGCAGCCAATATCCGATCTTTTCAAATGTGACCTGAATCTTAACGGTCAGGTCGCTTTCAGCCTACCTGAACATCATTGATGTCACTATTCTGCGTCCTGATACGCGCAAGCGGGAAGAAAAACAGCAACCATGGCGGACTATAATAAGGATTAAGTGTTAATATGCTGGTTCCAGTCGAACAACAACTTCAAAACCGTAAGATATGCTTGACCGTTAGCATCCATATTTACTTCCGCAAACGCTATTATGGCGGATCGCAAGCAACTTTAAGGTGCATACCGCCACCTACTGTACACGAGAGTGTAAGCAACACTACTTTACATCTATTAAATTCAGTTTTTTAATGTTGTAATCTGAAGATAAATAAATGATGCGTTCCTTAATCTGTAAATATCCACTATGTTTCCTTAATTTCCAAATATTCCTTTCACTGAGCACTTCTTCTTTTTTTATGTCAGTTGGCAAAACACCGAGCACGCTCTCTATGTGTGGCGTTATTGCGTCCTCTACTGCCCATGTGAGACACTTTCAGGTCGTTTGCTGTTCACCAAAAAAATTAAAATCCGATTTGACAAAGAAAATCGGAATTGGGTCACTTCAGGCTGCAATGTGAATGTCAGTCATTTTGGTGTTGTTCACCTTTTTAAGTGGCTATTTCGTAAATCGGTTTTAAAACTTGCTTTGTCAGGTCTCCCTTCCTTCGTGAAGCACCTGTGCACCGTGGCGGGAGGTTTCTACACGCTGTACCTGTTCTTTGAGCTCCACATGATCTGGGTCGTCCTTCTCAGCCTCCTTTGCTACCTCTTTCTCTTCCTGTGCCGCCATTCGACCATCCGAGGAACCTTTCTGTCTATAACGGTTCTCATCTACCTGCTTCTTGGGTAAAAATGTTTGTTTTTCACATAAAGTGGTCACTTATAAGTTACTTTTGTCTTATTTCAAGTGAATTGATATATTTGCACTAGAAATGAGACCAAAAACACTAAGATTTTGTGTTTTCACAGTGTGGACAAACATTAAAATCTTAGTATTTTTATCTGTCTTGATCAGGGAGCTGCACATGATGGATACCACCAACTGGCACAAAATGAGAGGTAATGCGGAGTCTGTTTATCTTGCTAACAAGCAACAATGTTACAGTTGTAATTTGTGATCTGTGTAGGTTCACAGATGGTGGTTGCCATGAAAGCTATCTCGTTGGCTTTTGATCTGGACAGAGGTGTTGTGACCAATGTTCCCTCGCCCATTGAGTTCATGGGCTACATTTACTTTGTGGGCACTGTCATCTTTGGGCCCTGGATCAGCTTCAACAGCTACAAAGAAGCTCTAGAAGGACGTAAGTTGGTAAGTTTGAGGCAGTAAACCTTAAGTGTTGGAAAATATTTTGAGATTTTTTTTACATCTATACCACTACATCAGTCATTAATAAACTGTTGGTGGTCACTGTGACGTGAACTCAAAGTGTGACACATACAGTTAGCTTACCAAAAGATTGTGCTTAAAAATATTGATGGGTAAGTAGCTTAAGATTGAAAAGAAAAGCAGTGGAAAGGAAACAAGGCAAGGATTACTTATGAGATTGGAGCAATTAATGTCTGGTGGAATATTTTTCAGTTTCTTGGTGTGAGTTTCTGAACTTTTGTTTTTATAATACACAAAGGTGGGTAGAGTACTCAATAAATTGTACTCAAGTAAGAGTAGCACTACAATGTATTTTTACTCAAGTACAAGTTAAAAGTAACTATCCAAGAAAATACCCAAGGAAGAGTAAAAAAGTATTTGGTAAACATTCTACTGAAGTACTGAGTAACTGATCAACTTATCAATCATTTTATGTTTAAAAACTACATCACCAGACAGATCAAAAATATAAAGTTAAGTGGAAATGTTGGTATTTTAAGGACGAAAATGACAATAATTTATTAAAAAAAACAAACTAAATCAAACAAAATACTTTTTTCTGAATCTGCTGCTTTCAATAAAAAACTTATGAAACTTTAACAAAAACTGCAGGTGTGTGTCTGGTGAATGTTTGATAAAAACATGTTGGTTTTTCATTCAGTGGGGAGAAAATCCAGAAAGTAAGAGTAGAAATACTTTATAATAAAATTACTCAAGCAAAAGTAAAAAGTATAGCATAGTAAAATACTCCTAAAAGTACATGTTTTTCAAAGTAATTACTCAAGTAAATGTAACAAGTCTAACAACACAGAGCATGGCACCAGCACACAGATCTAGGTTTTCCTGGCCTGTGGCTGCACTGCGCCCCACGCTGACTAACTGCATTTGCAACACATAAAATAAAATAAGTATTTACGTCAGGCTGAAAGAAAACAAAGATTAGAGACCAGACTTTTAGAATCTTAATAACTCAAAATGTCCCTGCATAGACTTGTTTGTGGTTTTGTCAGTCACATTTACCAAATAGCAACTCCCTTCTTCTTACGATGAACAAAGACAACAATGTGTGTTAAGAAACTAATATTTTTATTTCAGATTTTATATATTAAGATGTTTTGTTAGAAATGCCTTGTAGAGAAATATTCTGCCAAATTTCAAATTAAAAGGTATCTTCTCCTGGCCTATTGGATAAAATCCCAATAGAAAAGACTGAATTTGTGATTTTTAATATTTTTTTTTTGACATGATAAAACATACCAAGTTAACGTCAGCTGTAACTTGTTTCTTCTTCCCAGAGTTTAGGATGGATTGTAAAAGTGTCTCTTAGCTGGGTGAAGAGCCAGATCTGCCTTGTTGTGTCCAACTGTGTGGCTCCCTACCTCTTCCCCTACTTCATCCCCGTCTATGGAGACAAGCTCCTACGAAGGCGAGTGACACACAGAGCTTCGTCTGAATGAGTTGCAGCCTAAGTTTTCTATGAGTTAATGCTGGTGTCGCCTGTTGTGTTTACAGTAAAAAGAGGAGGAAGATCAGGTGAGTAAAGGTCCACAGCTCTCCTGGTCAGTCTCATCATTGTAGA